GCCTGATCTCTTTGTCGGTGTCTGCCCCTTCGCGTTCGCTTGTTCTTTCTAGTTTTTTTTTTTTTTGTTTCTTTGTTGCGTTTAATAACTTTCTCGATTTGCCTTCTTCGTTCGTCTTCCGTGCAGTCCTTTTGCCGTCGACGACAGGGGAAACGGAAATCAATCAGTACTTGAGCGGGGTTCAAGTTCAGTTCTCGATACTGGGCTGAATCCTTAGACCGTAACTGTACTATGTTTGTAACTTTAAAGGGAAACTGAAACGGTTCTGTATTTGAGGAAAAACACTTGAATCGTCTTTATTTAGCCGCCAACATCACAATTTTTTTTTTTTTTTTTTAGGTGAACGGAGATAGCAGGATATATTTTAAAACTATTGCCGAAGCCCCTCCTTTCCGGAGCGGTACGTCATATCAGGAGTTTTCAGAATTTCCACTCTCGCCCATCAACATTAGGGGGTTTTAGTAGAGCGTTACTTTCGATAACGATACGATGCATGCGCAAAGGCGTCGGCGGAGTATGCGGGTATCGCTATCGGAGTCATCGGAACGATCTACTAATATCTGTTCCGGTGGGTGGTTACGTTATCAGAACGTCTTTCCGCCATTTTTGAACGAGCTCGAAGGATGAATGGGACTAGTGTGTTGTCAGGCTGAACATCGAAAGCGAAATAAAAATACCATAAAGAGAAGTTCAGCCGATGGTTTATGTGTAGACCTAAAGATAGTAGTGGTAAACTCCCCGTATGGTCGCCATTTTGGCTCTGGAATTGAACAGTTTCCCCTTGACTTCTCCGTTCTTGGCGAGCCAATCTGGATTCGCTGGTGGCGGGTAGCTTTATAGAGACGTTTCTTGTATACGGCTATCCACACACCGGCGAAACAAGTGTACATCTTCGTACCGCCTTCACACGCGGTGTTGGTGCTTGGAGGCATTGAAAAATAATTTTCACACGTGAGCTACTGAGGGAAAATGTCAGACCTCTGCCCCCTCCTCAACGCTCGCTCGCTCAACACAACTTTCTCCATTTGACATCTAGAAATGCTGGAAACCTGCAAACCCTGTGGTGGATATCCAGATGACCACCATACACTCTGGGCATGCCCCAGTGCTCAATCTTCAAAACGCGCGCCTTTATTCTGCATACCACCTACTCTACAGCACTCATCCTACGAAGAATGGCTCACTCCATCCAAACATATCGCCACCATGTACCAAGCAACTCTCTTTCAAGTTCCTTCAATACACCCCCTCCAGAAGAGAGATCGTAGATACCCCAGAACTTCCTTTACGAGCGCCGGACCAGGCGTGTAGCAATAAAGTTTATTCTCTCTCTCTCTCTCTCTCTCTTGAAATAGGCAACAAGAACAATATCGTTGTAAGTGGTCCGTGGAGATGGGCATGATTGATAAGTTGATTGCATGCACAGAGCCAAAGACGTTTACAGTATATTGGCGAGGAACGGGTCCATGGCGCTCTTGATGCGACTGGTTGAGAACGACCATCACGAAGCTTCGAAGATACGGAGGGGCCGAAATGGCTATTGCCATGGAAACTGCAACGGCGATTGCCAATTACCTTGCGAAGTACCTTGCGAAGTACCTTGCGTTGTCGAACGCGTTCGAATGCGGAAACCAAACGGAGGACGCCGGCGTTCCGCATTTGAACGCGTTCGACGAGTGCAGTAGAGACAAGGGCAGCTACAGCCCTAGGTCTACCCACTAATCTCTCCAATCAGAGCTTGGTGTTCAGACGTCACCGCGCGCTCTCGTCTCCGCCACTCCCTCAGTTTCTCAGCGAATTCATCCTTTTATAATTGTGGGCTTCGTCGGTCGCCATTTTCTCATTGAAATTTTTTGACACTTCCTTATAACTTTCTTTGCCATCTGGTTCGTAGTTCGGAGCGCTAGAACTACATTCGGGAAAGGACTGAGCGTCGGCGATGGTTTAAGTTCGTTGTGAAAAAAACAAAACAAAACTACATTTAGGGGCTGCACCCTGTACATCCTATCTCACTCTTTCCGCCATTTTGTAAGTTGTCCCTCCGGGGCGATAGGTGGCGCGCGACGACCTGCCAATAAATGTCAGTCGTAACAGAAGTATGCAGGACCGAAATATCTGACCCGATCGTCATCTTAACGACGTCATTCTTTTTTTAGCATAGCGACTCCTGTTTCTGTTTTGTTTATTTATTTCTCCTCCTTCTTTCCCTCGTATGTAGAAATCACAACAGGAAGAAATTGAGATTGAGGATATTCGGGCACACACACTATCCCTTATTTTCCTTCGCCCGAGGAAAGAACTCCGGCGGAGATGGGACGACGGAGATTTCTTTTGTACCGTTGGACGGAATTCCCAATTTATCAAAAGCAGTAATCGTCCCGAGGCGACGGCGCGTAACAGAAGCACACCCTTTTTATTTCGCGCTGTTTGTTTACTTCTGCTTCGACGCTTGCTTACTTTTTCTCCGCGGAGAAAAAAATGAGCGCGCGGAGAAGAGGAAGAAGAGAGATTTGCGATTAGATTTTCCCCGTGGTCGCTCTCTCCAGGTTTGAAAAGCGGCCGAGATGTGACAGTGATGGTTACATTGCGCGCGCGCGCAAGGCATGCATTTCTTTTTTTAAAACTATTTTTGGGGGTTGCATCGTCAATAATAATGATTTCCGCCTGCGTGAAATACGGTGTGAGCACCGGCGGCAGGAAGCGTGGTGGGCGAACCGCGAGCTGACTGAGGCACTTTATTCTACTTGTGCGTGTGTGTAGGTTGCTGTGTTTTAATATGGCGCTTTTTTTTGTGTGTGTTTTTTGATTGGTTGGTGGTGGATGGAACCTGACATCATCCGTCCAAAAATCGTTGATATACATACCTTTTTCGTTTCTTGCTTGGCTGGCGTTTTGATTTAGACAGACTCTCTCTCTCTCTCTCTCTCTCTCTCTCTCTCTCTCTCTCCCTCCTTTCTTTATATAACCCGTATTCACTTTTCAACTTCTTTTATTTCATTCTTTTTATAAATTTGCTTTTGGCATTTTATTTTTCTATCAATCTTATTCCTCCCCTTCAACTTTTGCCATATTCTTCTCAAAATTCTGCCTGTCACTGTGTCTTTCTCTTGCTTCCACCCTTTTTTTCCGTTTTCCCTTCATAAAGGAATGGGAAAGGAAAGGGTGCCTATTTGTTTTCTCCTTTCATAAAGGAAATGGGAGAAAAGGCACATTTCCCTCCATAATGGAGAGAGGGAAAGAGGCTACTTCAAGTTGGCATCCCCTTCAAAAATAGAACTTATAAAAATGTAGGAGCCTGTTTTTTTTTTGTTTTTTTTTTGTGTGTTCTTTAATTTTTTTTAGAATTGGTTCAGCATATCAATAAATATGGCTGAACTTGTAACGTTGTAACCCTTAATGCTTTGTAAAATTATTTTGATTTTGGAAAGGTGTTAAATTTCTAATATTGGTTCTTACCTTTTTTTTTTTTTTGTTTTTGTTTTTTTTTTCATTATTGGGGGGGGGGGGGGGCTGAAAATTACTTGAAACTGTGGCCAAAGATGGAAAACGTAGTCTAAAGCAAAGGACAAAAAAGAAATTTTTTTTCTTTTTTTTTTTTTTTGCAACATTTAAAAAGGCACTGGGTCATCATTTTGACTCTAATGCTTGTTCCCAGCCGTTTACAAGGCATTCATAGGCGTGAAAGGAATGCTGTGGGAGCTTGCCCCACGCCCACTTGGCAGCAGGAAACTAAAGAACGAGCTTCACTCTTTCTTGAACTGCCAGCTCGAGCTGCAGGAGTCCCTGTCGGCGACATCAGGGCACAGCAAATGCGTGTGAAAATTTGAACGTTTGTTTTGGCGTCACCTTTGTTGACCTTTCTCTAAGCAACTATTCTGAATTTACAGGTACTAAATTTTATCTCGGCAAGAGTAAATCCTGGGTGTTCAGTGATCACAGTAAGCTTGCCTTGCTCAATAAATTGACGGGGTAGACCTTTAAAAGCAACACCAAATGTACAAAAATTTTTTTTTTTTTTTTTTTTTTTTTAGGCAAGGTATGCGTTGCTTGATACTCATTTTCTGTCCGAATTAAGTGCAGGCATTCCGGACCAGATGGTAAAGATTGAAAGTTTGCCGTTATTTTGCTCTAAAGTTTCAAGTGATATTTGGAAAATTTCAACGGAAAATTCACGACTGATGAGGTCCACCAATGCGTGGAGCTGAATGGTGTCGGCTACCGGGAAGTTTTCGGAAAATCACTTGTAACTTTTCAATAAGATAACGGTTAACTCTGACGCTTTAACATCTGGTCCGACCACTAGCGGTGTATGTTGCAAGGTTCTGAGCGGTCGGCAACGCTCTGTTTACTTTTGCAATGGAAAAAAGAACACCAAATGTTTTTGGGGGTACACACTGTACATAGCAAGATTAATTTACTTTTTTTGTTACCGTAAGAATCAAAAGGCTGTCTTCAGAGCGACTGGAGTGATGGAAGGTGCTCATTTTAGTCACTGACCTAAGGGATGAAAAGGGGTGCTCGTTCATGCTCTGACAAAGTAAAATATGCCAGAAAAGCGTCACTGTGATGTTTGCACCAACAGTGTCGCTCAGTGCACCCTCTTGGACAGTCTAAGCTGAAACACCCGGTTCGGCTTCATTTGGCATCTGGGGTCCCTACAGGCTCTGTAGTCCCTCATTTTGTCAAGTATAATACGAAGAATGAGACCCCAACTTCGCGTTTATTTTGTAGTTCAGACCTTATAGCTTTCTCAAGAACTGGCAGCAGGCACACCAAAGAAGCATGAAAGACTGTTTTAGCTCATGTTGTTCGCGATAGTACTACATACCAGCAAACTCCTTGTCGAAGACGAATGGTGGCACTGGAACTCGGCCATGTGTATAGCCCTGCTGCATCCCTTCACAGTTTGAAACAAGGGTGTTGTCGTTTTCCGGACGCAAAATGAAAGGTTCCGCCGATCTAGAAAGCTAACTCTCTGCCACGTCTTTTTGTTTCCACAGCGCCATGCGAACCCTGCTGTCCAAGTTGCCCCGTCCCTGGATCGTGGATGAGAAGAAGGACGACGGCTACACTGCCCTGCACCTGGCCGCCCTCAACAACCACGTAGAGGTGGCCGAGCTTCTCATCCACCACGTGAGCTCCCCTGTGTTGCTTTCACATCTCATGAGGGGTCACCGGATGCATATTTACATAGTAACCCTGGTGGTTGGAGCTGGGAGGTAGTCCAACATAAAATCGCTCAGCTTAGACGTTTCGTCAAATGGCAACAAACATGTGATACCATCTGATGGGATTTTTATTGAGCAGCACTTGCTATAGAAATTTAGTGGTGACATTTCACCTCTAAATTCAGCAGGAAAATTGCATCGTCACGTCACGGGACACTGTGGCATCGCACGACACTGTGACATTGTGAGAAAATTGCATTGCGACGTCACGTAACACATGCTTCACATGACAAGTACCACGGCATCATGTGACAACACAATGATTTCCACACTAAATCTAGCAGGAAAATTGATGCCACACGACCTGACGTCGGGTCACGTGACCATGTCACATTACCTCAGGTTACATGATGACCATGACATCATGTGACAATGCTACTTGAAACTGTGACATCAATTTCCTTGCTAAGTGTAGCAGGGAAATCGATGTCAAGTTACACCATGTTGTCACATGGCATTATGACGTCATTCGATCAGACCAAAAAATGCAAGCAAGAAAGTCCCATGGAAGGTTTCCTTGGGGTTCAGTAAACAAACGTAGGACATCCTGAGGGTAATGATTAAAAAGTGCAACAAGACGATGGACACAGAAGAAGACACAGAAAACACAGCGCTACTTACAACTGAACTTTATTTTTGCTGCAGCTTGGTATATATTACCGGCAACAACACAAACGAGTAAGGAACGATATGTAAATACACCTCACAAAAATGATAGAAAAAAACATAAAAAGGCTAAAAGTCCTGCATCACTCATCGGCACTCACCCAAAACTAGTGATCCTTGGTCAAGAAACTGCAATTCTTTTTCGTGGTGGCATTTCAAAATGAAGCAGGACTCGGTGTAAGCAGTTCTCTTGAACTCCTGGCATTTTATCTAAGGTTTACGTTTGCCACATTGGACGAAGGCACTTTTACTCAAGATGGGTGTGTGTATCGGTTTCCGTATACAGTCTACGCTCATTACAATAGACCTGGTTATAACAGACTTTTGGATATAACGTACCGATTTGTGAAGGTCAGTTGGTTTTCCTCCATATCTGCATACAACATACTCCTTTTACAAGAGACCAAAATCTTGGTCAAAATGAAGGTCTGTTATAACGAGCTTAGACTTTAGCACCGGTACTCAGGGACATTTTTCTAGCGGCCCTTGATCGGATCCTGGCTAGACTTGAGGGTTCTAAGGTTGTAAGCCTTTTTAGATTTGTGGGGGCAATTTTTTAGTCCTCTTGGACTGCAGCTCAGATGTCTTTGAGGAGGTGGTGTCCGTGACCCTGTCCACTTTTAGTGACTGTCTAAGGCCCCTGGTGCTAACACATGAAGTGCTGGTGGGAGGTTCCGTTAAGTTCTCGGACCTGAGGCTTGCCTTCCGACCGGGGCATGTATGTTAGATTTATGAACCAAGGGGGAACCAAGCCAATCCTGCCATTCGCATCAACGCACTCAAAACTTGTGTACAGGGGGATGATCAGTCTCTGCTTCGGTAACACTCTAAAGGAGTCGTGCACTCACAAGATCAATGAAAGTTTTAAATATCAGGTGTCAAGACTCAAGTCTGTGGGGTATCCAGTCTCCCTTCTATCAGCCGTAGCAGAGAACACTCTCAAGACATTAAAGAATAAATATATTCAGGGAACGGAAGTGCAGAGGAAGAAAAATGAGAAACCAGTAGTCATACCATACCTACATAAAACGTCCCATAACCTTAAAAGAGTGGGCTTGCATGCAGGGGTTAACATTGTTTTTTTCAGCACCTGTCAAGTTGACTAGTTTATGTAAAAAGGTCAATTTCACTTCGAACATCATAATCATACCTGGCTGCACGAACAAGCACAAAACTTGCTTTGCTGGAGTGTACAGAAGAGGTTGTCTACTCCGTGCCATTATCGTGCTGGCGTTATTATGTGGGGCAGACTGGTCGCTGCCTAAATGAAAGATTGAGGGAACACCGGTACAACGTTGATGCCGTGATATCAGGACACCTCGGTGTGCATTGCCGGGATTGTGGTTGAACTCCAATTTTCCCAGATTGTACTGTACTAAACAAAAACAGAAACAAAACCACAAGGGAAATGCTCGAGGCTCGAGAAATTGCTAGATTAGAGCTGCAATGTGTCAGTGCACCCTCTTTATCTTTATTCGAAAAAAAGTTGCAATTTCTTGACCAAGGATGACTAGTTTTGGGTGGGTGCCGATGAGTGATGCAGGACTTCTAGCCTTTTTATGTTGTTTTTTTTTTCTATAATTTTTGTGAGGTGTATTTGTATATCTTTCCTCGCTTGTTTGTGTTGTAGCCGGTAATGTATACCGTGCTGCAGCGGAAATAAAGTTCAGTTGTAAGTAGCGCTGTGTCTGTGTCTTCTTCTGTGTCCGTCGTCTTGTTGCACTTTTTAATCATTATGAATCACCAACTTGCCCAACTTTCTACCCTCATCCTTAGCGTATCTTTTGGAATTTCACCTGAGACGTCTTCAGTACCTGAATGGGACATTTCATGCCTAATGTCCCAGTCTGGACGTTCTTAAAGGGCACTAAAGAGGATCCTGCGATCGCCTGTTTTTGGACATAGCTGATTTTATGGGCCCTAAGAACCTTAAAAATTCAAAAATTATGATCGCGCAATGCCAATTTTCTTATAAAAAAAAAACGTGATGGAAGGTTGGGACACACCCCTTTCTGAGCGGATTCTTTTTGCTCGGAAAAGGTGGGGCATACGCCAGTAGCGGTGTCAGCGCAGTGATGATGGACGCTTGTTGGCCAATCATAACCCGCCTCTTTTGGAGAGGCAGCTTGTGATTGAGAAACGGCTTACGATTGGCCGACGAGCAATTGAGAGGCGGCTCAATCTTTTATAATTCAGAATTGCGTTACAAAGATACGGACAGGACAAGTACTTACAATCACCTAAGTGTTTAATGCATGAAAAGAGAAAGACGAAAATAAAATGCTTTAACAAACTAAAAAAATAAAAATAATAAATTGGAAAATAAAGAAAGAGTGTGATAACAAGAGAAAAGCCGCCAGATTAAGAAAAAAGGTTTGTGGTACCACATCTCTTTTATGGACAGTGATATTGAAGGTATCCTAATGCATGTGTCCCCTTTTTCTATTATGGATTTTGCCTCATAAATTTTTCTGGCTGTCTTGCTCCAAAAGCGATTGAGGACTTTTGTTTGATTAAATATAGGAGAATGTTTACACTCTCTGACATGTATGGCTTGGTGACCTGATGGCGACGAACATAGAGAAAGGTCATGCTCTCGTAGTCTTATATGAATGCAGCGGCCAGATTGACCAACACACACTCCCACAAGTGCACGGAACTTCGTGCACAATGTTGTCATTGCAGCATATTTATGTGTGTACTGTACTGAGCATTCATCTTGTTTGTTTTGGGAGTGGATCTTTAGACACAGTTTTTTAAGTTCATCAGGTTCTGATAGTACCACCTGAATGTTATATTTAGAGGCTATCCGTTTCAAATTTTGAGAGGTTTTACCCAACTAGCCCAACAGCTAACATTAATTTTTTTTTTTTAAACTGGTATGCATTGTTCACGAGATAATCGGGGGTGCATCTGTTATGTTCGGAAATGGCGGCGAATATTGGGGATATAGTAGTCAAGTGGCTTCATCAGAGTTGACAAAGCATCATTCTGTGATGCAATCACAGAATGATGCTTTCACATGATGTTGTACAATCCCTTGGAAAGCAGAAGAAAAAAATACTTGAGTACAAGTATTCTAAAGTACTTCCCAACACTGCCTATAGCATTGTGTTGACTATGAGATGCATTTAGTTGCTTCTTTGCATTTTTTGCTACCTCTCTCGTTTGGCCCTCTCACCGATCGTTCTGTTATCTTTCACACAAACACTGCAGGGGCGAGCTAACATGGATCTGCAGAATGTGAACCTCCAAACTCCGCTGCATCTTGCTGTGGAGCGCCAGCATGCACAGATCGTCAGGGTGAGCGGGAATCTGCCCTTGTTGTTTTTGCATGTACTGCACAGAAAAGGCCACACTAAAGTGATGATCAAGTACTGTATTGTTTGTAGTATAGTCCACAGGGACAAATGTGGGCTGAAAAAAAGAAAAAGATTTTCCTTTGATAGTCTGTATCTGGTGCATAATTCGCACATAAAATTTTATTCGCAGCACACCTTGATAGATGCCTACATTATATAGCGCACAAAAGAAGCTTGCATTATATACAGAAATCCTAATTGACATGAATGGTCATTCACAAAATCTAGAAAAAACAAGTCCTCATATAGTGCGCACCACATGAAGTTTCAACTTTTAAACATCTATGCAGTCTGTGGACGAATGTCCAGAAAATATGGCATTCAAGAGGAAGTGTTGAATTTGGCAATGGGAATTTTTAAAAGTAGCCTCAAACAAGTGTTTTGTATCACCATTATGATCAAACTGCACGTGTGAGACAGAAGAGATGTTAATGATTAATATTCAGTACGAGCAGAAGCAGTTCCATTGTGCATTTCTAATTCTCTATTACGTAAACTGTTTGCTCGCCTTGTCAAGCTCATACAGTTGTTTCGCATCTTTGCCCTGGCTGATGAATACTAGACCTTCTGGGGTGCTCAGTTGTGAAGACAAAGAGTACTTTCCGCAAAATGGTGTGTGGCCATGTGCGTATATATCTCTTGACAGTCGCTTTAGTTGTGCAGATTGCCTGCCTCATTATGCGAGAGCTTTCCACAGCGATCATTATATGTTCCTATATCGTCAAGACCAAGACATTGAGCATGGTGGAATGTCGTGCTCGGTGCCTAAGCCCGGGCCTCTTCTCAGGCCTAAGCATATTTTCAGCCCCGTGATATGCCGAGCTTCCTCCGTTGATCGCAGCAACCGGCTCTTTCAGGTGCTTTGCGAAAAAGTAGATGCTCAACTTTCTTTAGTATTGGCCTGGAGACAATAAAAACTCATTACAACGGACTTTAATAGTGATCGTAAGACTTTCGGTATGTTGTAAAAGGAGTGTGCAGAAAGCAGATACTCTCTAACTACAGACTTTGACATGGATTAGAGCTGGAGTCTATTCTAACCAGTTAGATTGACGAAATGTGAATGGACATTAGAAAAGAACTGGATTATTGAAACTGGTAAACTTTTAAAGGTAGTGATGATTGTCATTACCTTTAGTGAACAACGAAAAAAATAGAATCGATCCAAAAAAGCATACATACTAGTCAGAAATATGGGTTACCTAAGTGAAGAAATTTATCTGCAAAACTATATATTCGTAAAGAACTAGGAATGTTGCATTTTAGGGACCAGATGATGTATGATATTAATATAAAACATTTTTTTAACAATAAACAAACTTGAGAGTGATAAAGGAAGAATTTTAAGATCAAATAGAAAATTAGTTGAACCATTTATTTATACCAAATATGGAGAGGCCACGGAAAATCATTATATACCCAAGATTTTTATTGAATTACCTGAAGAGTTACTGAAGAAAAAATCCTCCAAAATATAAAAGCTGTCAAAAACGTGGATATTCAAACAGAGTAAAACACACCCCTGGAGAATTGGTTCGCTTCAATAAGATGAATTGTACGAAATGACATAAGTGATGCCAAAATCCCACATATCTTATATATTGCTGCTGTTTAATGAATTAGTGGACGAGAGTGTAACTATATTTTTCTGGAGATAGAAACTCTATGTATTTTGCAATAACGTGCTCTAGCTAGTGCAAGTTTTTTGATTCTTTAATAAAAATGCAGAGGCATCTGTCGCATACCACACACAAGCCAAGATTGGCTTATGTGGGATTTAGATTCGAACTGTATTTTAAGAAGCAACTAAATATTGTTTTGTATTTTATTGTATTGTATCACCGCACGCTTTGGGTCATACGAGGCTCCGAGTGTCATGACAACAGTTCGCAAAATGGATGCCACCACTACCGAACCAAGGCCGCATAATATCCAAAATAATGACTGCTGTCGAAGAGTCTGTCATAATGAAGAACTACTTACAAATTCCCTAATATATTCTGTTATATCCAAACGCATGTCATAGACAGAAGTCATAGATGTCATAGACAGAAGTCATAGACGAAGTCGGCTCACTGGCATATAGACAGGATGACCAACAAAACTTCGCAAATCGGCACGTTATAACCGAATGTCTATTGTAACCAGGCTTGTTGTAAGGAGGCTATAATGTATATATCTCCGTGATGTGTTCCATCCATGTAACTAAACTTAGAACAGTTTGCTCGAGCGTTCACTTTGAACGAGGCACTGACCGCAACGGCGCGGGTCATTGTACGTGGCAGCACCTGGTGCGCGAGGGCTGCAACCTGAACGTCCCGGACAAGGACGGGGACACGCCGCTGCACGAGGCCCTGCGGCACCACACCCTGTCGCAGCTGCGCCACCTGCAGGACATGCAGGACGTCGCCAAGGTCGGCGCCAGGGGCTCCACCTCGGCTGCTGGGAACCTCGAGGTGGGTGCCATTAAGCGTTTGGGGGTCGCGCAACTTTTCACCTCGTTGGCCCTTCAGATTGAGATTATTTTAGACTTCAGTCGGCCAACGGAGCGAAAACGTAGAGGCGTCTTTTTGGAACGCTCGAACTCCGGTGCGCACTTCGTGCCTTTCCGCCGCTTTGACTGTGGCGCACACCGTTTACAAAGGTAGGTAGCTCTCACCGGAGGCGGGACGACCAACGCTTTTCCTTCCTGTGATTCTCGCCTCTTTGGCGACTATGAAAGCGATATAATCACTCGGTGGTCGTGAAATAAAATTCATTACTGAAGCGTTTGTGAAAAACGTTTGGAAGTGCTGGGTCTTGGACTGTGCAGCGAGGAGCTCCAGAAACAATTGGGTCTGAGTTTGTGTGGGGTTTCTGGATTTGTAAGACGGCGACGTCCGTGAGGCTCTCGTCGTCGCTCTCGTTCGCGGAACTGTCACACTCGTTCTCCGGAGATTTGTCGCAGAAGCTTCCAGAGCCCTTTCTGGGGTTCTCTTCTCCGCTAAAATCACCTTCACCGTCACTCGTGTCGCTAAAATATTTTCCGTTAAAAGCGAACGGAGACAAAGCTGTCATGACACACTGTGCATAAATGTACAAACAAAATTCTGCTCGTCCAGAAAAAAAAAATATAGAAACGAATCTTGTCTCGTTAAAGCTAAGACCGCAAGCAGAAATGAGACTTTCAGAGTACGACCCCTGACCGCGACGGCAATATTTCTCTGTCGGATGACATCCGATGCACGACCTCCTAGAAGATGAGGCCGGTGCGACCGTCCCACCCTCCGACGCCATCGCCAGTGGATCCACGCACAGTTATCTAGCTCGCTTCTCCGCCTCGTTCCCCGTGACGAAAGCGCGCTACAGCCGCCTCGCCTTCCTCGTAGAAGGGAAGGGAACATGCCACGAGCTGGCAGAATGAAACGGTGTACCGTTAGAACGACATCACAAGAATAGGCTTTGATTCTCGGGTTCACTTCCGTCATGCGAAGAATGCATGGCGGTGCGCGTTAGTTGTGTAATTTTGCCACAGGGGGCACACCCACCGTCACGGAGATGCATCTTGATAGGAGACCGAAACTTAAAAGCATGTCCAAATCTAGTGTTTTTTCGAGTGTCGTAAAATGTTGCACGTGCCTCATATTTTCGTAAAGTGCACCGACGTAGTGATTTTAGACGATGCCCAGAAAGATCCTAATTGAAGCCGTACCTTTAAGTTTAAAAATTAAGGTTATAATCGCTCGGAAGTAATTAGGAACCTAATTAGTACTATAACAAATGTTATTGATTTTTCTAAATGGGCCCTTTGGCAGAAGAGGCCAATACGACATCAATAATCTCTCTGTGCGACGCATAGTTTTCTCACGAGCGATTTGACTGGCGTTCTGTGAAATGCCCCTGTATGCCGTAAAATAGATGTTTTCTGGTGTAGGCACTCGATATGTCCTTCGCTTATATTTCGTGTGGTTTAAAAGTAGGGGGTGTGCATTTATCGAGGCACGGGCGCACGCTCTGTATTTTGCGGGAGTTGCCGAGGGCCGGCATCTTCGGCGAGGGGACATCCTTGCCTCGGGTTTGCCACGGTTGCCGCACCGGGCACTCTTTGCCTTGCAGCTCCTGATGGGGTTGGGGAGTCAGGGCGCGGACAAGAAGTCCAGCGCCTCCATTGCCTGTTTCCTGGTCTCCAACGGTGCCGAGCTCTACATCAAGAACAAGAAGGGCCAGGCACCACTGGACCTCTGCCCGGACCCAAACCTGTGCAACGCTCTCGTCAAGTGCCACAAGGATAAGTCCTGGTAAGCGGACGGTTGAACCTTGCCTCGTTGGCGAGGGTCACCACCTGCTTGCTTGCTTGTTGTTGTTTTGTATTTTTCTTGGCCTCTTTCTAATTTTCTGTGTGCACATATTGCTAACTTCTGTCCTCTCCGACATACTACAGTAGGATCTCATTACCGTAAAATATTGGGGGAGCGCCCACCCCACTTTTGCTGAAAACTCGGTTAGTCTAGACAGGGTCGCTTGTCCGATCAAAAGATGGGCACTTAACCAATAATTTGCAGAATTCCCAAGTTTTGGAAATGCTAATACTAGTGGGCACTTGTATAAAGTGGGCGCTTCCATGGTATTTTACGGTGGGTGGGAACCTAAGAAACCAAGCAACACCATTCTACTTATCACGAGACAAGAAGACTCTCTGCAGATAGCACCACCCAAAAAGACATTTCATGAAATTTTACTTATCCTTGAATTTTCATATAACATGAGAGTTATTATTAGGGTTCCTCTGAGGGTTCTACGTATGAAAGTTCCACTTATGAGAGTTCGTTTGAGTGTTCTGCTTTCCACTTATGAGAATTCCATAAGAGGTTTCTATCTGCGAGAAGAGGTGAATGCTGTTTTTATACAATATTTAATTGCGGTTCCTAAACGTTTGGTCTGGAAAATTTGTGCTGCGGGGAGAGCTTTTACAGCGGAGCTGTTAAGGGCTTGCTTTCCCAGGATCATGTCCCCCGCAAAGAAATGAAGACACCGAACTCTGGACACCTACCGCCATTTATGAGGGACAGTGGCAAGCCACGTATCTGGTTTTTGTCGTCGCTCATAGATGGCGGCAGCCTTTCCACTCTGGCTTGCTGACTTGCGGCCGGCCATAACTTTCCATTGTACGGCTCTGCTGGTCTTTCTTCTTCACCAGAGTGGAAAGGCTGAAAGGTTTTTCATAGAACTTATTGAACCAATACAGGCGTGCTCCTGGTGCTACAGAAGAGCTCATCAGATTGGGTGAGGAGCCTACTTGAAGAACTTAGTGTACGCTCACTTGGCTCAAAGTATCACTGAAGGTTCAGAAAGGCTTTCCGGCTTTACTAGTTTATCAAGGAACAGTAGCAACAACGGACACCGTCTTAAAACGTGCCCAAGGATGCTGATGCACACGAGGTAGCTGAATGCCGCTGCATATGGAAACGGCGAGGCTCAACAATCCTAACAAGCAGATGCTCTCTAGAATTGTGAAGACGAAACGGTTGCTGGCAAGATGTTGTTGGCATGTCTTTGAATCGTGTTTGTTGTTTGTTGCTTTAACAGTGTGGAGGTTTGGGCAGGGAGCATTGGAAACTCTTCCTGCCCAAAATGCCTAATAGTAATAATGTTGCATGTATGTTTATACAGGCGGAAGTTAGTCAGCCTTATTGGGCGTCTGATGTCTCAGCTGCAAATAAGAAATTTAGTCAGTGCAGTAAAACCACTAGCCTGGGGTTTTTAATGTGCACTACGCAATAGCGGTACACGGCTGCACGCCAGTGCAATGCTCATCCAGGCTGAAATGGGCAGGGGTAGGGATTGAACCCAGGGTCTCTGGGTTCTACAGTGCAAGCTTTCGCTCCACATGCTGCAAGCTGGTGTGTGCTAGCCCATTCGGCCACCGATCCCGCCCCCCCCCCCCCCTCCCAAATATTTGGCCCAAACCACTATTCGCTACAGATCATAAGAACCAATTGACAAGTCATAATATATGGTCATGTGCAAATAGTGGATTTGGAGTTCAAAGTGAAAGTGGTTTTGGCTGAATATTTTTGAATTGAATATTGAATAGTTTCTCTAAGCCTTTCACTACTACACCATGTTTAAACGAAAACCCAGCTTAACTCATGAAGGTTGTTCCCAAGCTTCCATTTGACCACTTCTAAGCAAACTTAAACTTAATCTAACTCTATTAGGGACAGTCACCTCAGGAAGTCCAGTGCCTACATTGGGATGGCAAGTAAATGACACATTTGGCATAAAACTGAACCTTTAGAGACGCCCACTTTCACCTAATTGGTGGGATTTATAAATCTTCTTGCCGTATGCAAATATCTTTCCTTAAATCTCAAACTTAAGAAAAAGAAAAACAACTAACTTCTCATTTTGCACGTTTTACGTCCTTTTGCTGCAAAGCACTTAGTTGCCCTCGTCAGACAGCGTCATGCTATGGGCATTTCTCGCGAGTTAAAACGTCAAAGTTGTTGCGTGTCGAACGGTACGTGTGAATTAGGCAAATCTGCGCAACTCCAATTTCGCAATACCGATGCTCGTAAAAAGAAAAAAATTCATTGCGTGAACAATGCAAAGACGTGAAATTTATACAAAAATGCAACTTATATAGCAACTTTGCTGCGAACATGTCTCAATATGCAAAAGTCTGACTTACACAAAGGTGTGACATATAGTCCAGAAAATATGGCACTCTTGCATAATAGCCACAGTTTAATTTCGGAAGTTTTACTGTATTGTAGATATAAACATTCACGAAGTTTAGGTTTCTTTTTAAAAACACGAGGCACATACACACACCATCCCACTTCAAAGCGTGCTTTGCTCATAAGTATGCGATCGCAATATTTATACTTTTAAAAGTGTTGATCGCGGCGGGTTAGTCCCATTCGGCGCACTTCTTACTGAGCACCGGTGCACTGCGGTAGAGCAACACCCGTGGAGCTCGCTTCCGCGGGTGTTGTTTTTCCACAGTGCAACTGTGCTCGTTAAAGGGTAGTCCAAAGCAAACCGCACTGCACAATGCCGTCCGGGAAAGTCTGAAACCCAGAATTTGTGTTTTTTTTTTTGTAACTTCCGCAGGCACAGGTGGAAAGTGTGCAGTTGTATGGGAACGAAGCAGCAAGCGCCCTGGCGACAAATGGAGGGAAAGGGGGTTTGAGAGAGAAAGGGAAAAACGCACATATAGTCAGTTACAGGTTAAGAAGGTAGCGGCAAATGCCCCTCAAAGGGAATGAGATATCCCTCCGCCACCTCCGCATCCAATAGCGTCCCACCGTTTCCGTGACGTCGCGGCCAACGCGCGAGGAGGGTCTTGCCTTTCTGTACATATTTGCTTTATCTTTCGACTTTAACTTAGCATTGTGGAAGCCACGAGAGGGAGATTAGAGTTCTCCCCCACCGACGGAAACAAATACGGATTTTGGGGATTAGCTTCCCCCCCAATGGATACAAAGGCTGCTTTCAGGGGCTCGGTTCCCTCTCCGATGAATACAAAGGTCGCTTTCTTAAAAAGTGGGATCGGAGACAAGTGGGAATCCATTGAAGCGGAACAAGGAGAGTTTCCAGTGAACTCTTCTTTCGACTGCGGAGGGATTTGAAACGGGCGCATCACGATTGTGGGAGGAGCTTCTCCTACCTTCTTGACTTGTAACCGACTATAGTCACCACAGACGGGAGGAGAGAAAGTCCCCTTTGTGGAGTTTTTGATGGACTTCAAGGAGGAGAATACAACAAAAGCAACTGCATCTTGAGCCTCCCTTTGTCCTTCTGTATGGTTCCAGAAAAGCAATAAGAGCACCCTCCCCACCCCTTTCTACCACCCCGCTCCCGCAGAAGGTTCTCGAGGAGGGTGAGGAAGGGGGACCGCCTTCCCCTGATTAGCTACTGCAAAATCCTCATCTGGGTCTCAAAAAGTTAACATTTCCAACTTTCCGTCTGTCTGCCGAAATCCGGAAAACGTAGCCGTTGACGTCACAGGTAACATCATTTACGGCTCACAGACGTTCCCGCATGACCGTTTTGTGGGTTGGATTGAACCGCGTAGTAGAAGCGAGCTCAACAGGGCTAACCCATTGTGATCAACACTTTGAAAAATGTGAATATCGTAGTTCACCTTGAAACAAATATCGAATAGCATATTATTCTAAACTACTATTCAAATATTTATACAACCCTACAAGTTGCATCGTTAGAACAAATATAGTAGGTTTCATACAAGTTTCTTACAATTTCTAGTGCCCTGTCAAACAGTTGTGTCATCTGTTGTACACGCAACTTACTATATTTGCGGACAACTTTCTGTGGCTATGCAGTCTAAGCTACGGGTGTACGGGTGCTCACACACCTTGAGCCCCCATCAGAGCTGTGCACGTGCACCCTTCACTTCTTTTGAAATGCCACAGAAAGTTTTCCGCCAGTACTGTAGGGCAGAAATTGGCGAGGTTTTCAGACAAGCATTAAATGACGGTGGTAGTCATGTGATGCCTCTTTCTGAGCGTGCTGGAAAAATTTGCAGGTTAGCTGCTGTCGGTAACTATGCAGAGTGCAAGTTTGTCTGTTTCTTTTGCAGGGTTTTGGGTGACATCAGAATACCAAGCTGTGATAGACTCTGATTGAAGGATAGTGGGTAGACCTCAAGGCAGCTTGCTTTGAAGTCTACCCACTATCCTTCAATCAGAGCCAATCTGAGCTCAGTGTTCTGAAGTCACCACAACCCTAGCAAAAGAAGCAGACAAACTTGTGCTCTGCATAGGCATCTTTGTTCCACCGTGATAGCAAAGAGAATTTTCTGAAAACAACTGAGACAACAGCTGAGTCTGTGAGGAATCCGTAAGTGTGGATGAATGGATAGATGGATGGATGCATACAGCCCCCACCCCTAAAATTGGGCAGTGACTTGTGCCACCTATCCTGTATTTTCAGTATCAACAGTTCACATCTACCTTATATATGAAGCATTAATGTGGAGCCTTTTAATAATGTGATCATTGCTGTTGGCACCAGCTGAACATTTGCAACGCCTACTCCAGTTCCCAGATTCTGACACCGTCGTCGAGCCCGCGTCCCACCGAGCAGGAGGCGCTGGAGGACTGCATCGTCTGCTCGGACATGAAGCGGGACACATTGTTTGGCCCCTGCGGCCACATTGCCACCTGCTCCCTCTGCTCCCCTCGCGTCAAGAAGTGCCTCATGTGCAAGGAGCCCGTGCTGACACGCACCAAGGTGAGCCGTGCCCGAACGTTTGGTACTCGGTAGCACTACAGCATGCACACCAACGCTTTGAACCCACCTTAGATGCTTCGCAAATATTGGTTTCTTTAGTACAGAGGTACGGCTAGGTGGTGAAAGCTTGGAGCGAAAATATTGCCAATTGATTACGTAGCTATGTCGGCAGCGCGGTAGGTTTGTGCGCATATGGCTCGGGTTTGATTCCCGACACTGCATGTCCTTTTACTTTTCTTTATGTAAGTAGAAGGTTCAAGAAGGTTGGAGAACCATCTAGCGTGTTTGTGTTCAGAACCTATGGTTTGAGAAGGATAGAGGCAGATTATTCTAGGCTCCCAGCAAAGGCTTAAAAGAAGCCGCGCCACTCTGTACTAGAGTGTCTTTCGCCTGCGCTCAGTCCTAGCTGCTCTTACGCCGCCATCGACGCTGGTTATCGTCCGCTCAATCTTATTTTGTTTGGGCACGGGTTTGCCCTATTAAATGTTTAGTATGTCAGTGTTTTGTAGTTTCATCAATTGTCGTTCACGAAATTTTCAATGGATAAACTTACCTAAATCAAAAAAGATTAACATTTTTCGGGCAGTCTGCGGCGGCATTTGCAGACAATATCACGACAAGGCTCACCTAGTTGTCTGTCCCGCCGACAGATGTCGGAAGCATAGAGGGTGCACTGGCACATAGCTTAGCAGACGATCTTCGAAACTTTTCTCTATGCCAGCGTGCATCTCTCTAATGTACAATTCTGAAAGTGTGATAAACAATTTCATTATTTTAGAAAAACAAACTGAGTAAGAAAGCTGAGATTTAAATACCTCATTGCCCTCTATTTTTGGTACGGAGATGGTTAGTCGAGGTGCCGCACACTCGTGTCTCAGCTTGCGCCATCTTTCGGCAGCACATCCAACTACTAGTAGGTAGGCGTGTTCATGACGTCGACTGTGAATACTGACGCAAATTGGCCAAGCCGGGTTTTTAGAGCGCAGCTCTTAGGGGCCCGTTCCCAGCTTGAGCGGCGTCGGCGTCGCCGTCGGCGTCGCCGTTGGCGGCGGCGTCGGCGTAACCAAGGTCATCCCAAGGTCACGTGGCCCCCCCAAGGTCACGTGACCCCTCCCCAGGGTCACGTGACCCCCAAGGTCACGTGACACTCAAAGTCACGTGACCCCCTGAAGTCACGTGACCCGCCCCCCGAAGTCACGTGACACCCCCAGGTCACGTGACCTCGGCGGGGGTCACGTGACCCTGGGGGTGGTCACGTGACCTGGGGGTGTCGCGTGACTTCGGGGGGCATCCGCATCGTCATCGTCATCATCACAAATGACGTCATCAGTGACGTCACTGATGACGTCACCAACATCCGCATCGTCATCATCGCTGATGACGTCATCGGAGTCCGCATCGTCATCGTCACTGATGACATCATCGGCATCGTCACGTGACCCCCAAGGTCACGTGACCCCCCCCCAGGTCACTTCACCCCCCCCCCCAGTACCCTTCCCTCCTCCTCCTCAAGAGCTGCGCTCTAATTCGGTGTTACAGGGAGTTGTAAACGGCTTTCACTTTTTCTTTCTTTTTTCAACCAGGTCAGTTCACTTTTTGGTATCTTGACTCCATGCTTCCCCCACCTAGCTGCATCTACGTAGTAAATTGCAGCACAATACGTTGAGAAATAAAGTTTTGCAGACGGTCTAAAGCAGGTTTAATTTTTGTATGCAGTCGACTTCCGTTAATTCAACCTTAACAGGACATGCGAAATTGGGCCAATAGACCTATTGCTATATTACCCAAGCATCAAGGAGAATGCAGGGATTGGTGTCTCACGTGCCGCATCGGCCAGCCCCAGCAGTAGTAACTTTTGTAAAGCAAATGCCAAAAACAAATTGCATCTTGCACGCACGTTCGTCAACACTTTATTTTGGTTATTTACTTCGAATCTGTTATACGGAGAAGGTGTGCACGTGTGGTACGTGGAACACCATTCCCTGCATTCTCCTTGATGCTTAGGTAATTTAGCAATAGGCCGATCATCTGAAAGTCGAAATAAAAGATGTGTGCGAAATTCTGAATATCCAGCACTTTAAATCCGGTGTGCTGACATTTTTATAATGAGCCGTCGCATGGCGGTGTATGCCCTTCGTGCATTTGGCTGCAGCAGCGGTGAGTGGCGGCTACGAGGCAAAGGTCACCGTTGTGTGCGTTGATGTCATCAGTGGCCGTCTCTCACAAACAGCCCATCTGCACTCGCTGCTCCGCAACGGTGTTGCAATGGTTGTTGTGTTGAGGCCCGGCCGTGTCCCGTGGCTGGACATGTGCCCTCCTTTTCTCTCTCTTCGCAATTCTGTGCATGCCTCAAACTTCGAAAACGTTTTTCTTCGCAGACGGGCTCGGCCGATCACGCTTGTAACTTGCCCCATTCGGAAAAAAAGACTGTCTTTTTTTGTGCGTCATGCACGGCCAAGCGTGCTTATTATTTTCCCACCGCCGACTCTTAAATAATTCAACTCTCCGAGTTGAATTTTATATTTCAAGTTTCAAGTTGTTTTTCTTTTCTACAGAACTCTATGGGCTCTTGCTGAGACCTTTGGGCAGGGTCGAGTTAAACAACAAGTCGAATGAACCGAGGTCGAATTTATGCTAATCGATAAGGGGAGTTGTGACGATCACGTGGGTGAGAGTGGTCCTACGAGTATGGTTAAAGCCTACAGAGCACAGCCTAATCCATCCGCAAGAAGCAGTGCCACTTGCACTCCTAGGGCTAGAAGAGATGGTGATGCTAGCAAAATTGTGCAGATTAAGCATTTCAATATTGCAATCTGTGGGGCTATTCTTCAGCCAAAAATCACAACATGATCCTCTCTACATTTTCTGGCAATTTCAATCTTGCTTGCTTTATCTCATTTGAAAATCGAATTTCCCAAGAATTAATTGGTCTTTGCCACTCTGGCACTGCACACGGCCTACATCTGGTGCTATGGTGATAGTGACACTGGGGCATGAAGTGTGGCACTTTTTTTGGCCTCAGGGAGATGCGAGCGATCGCCATGCCTCCCCGTCTATACTCTATCTCACTAGCTGCGCGCAGCGTTGCCAAATGTACAGGGGCAAAAGCATAACCTGAGCAGTTGAAACGGAGAGGAAGGAGGAAATCCTTTCTTGCCCAGACCCTCGTTTGTGAACGCCGCATCGCTTTCCTCCTCCTCGGAGATGAGCCTGTCATTCATAATGTGTACAAAAGAGGCTTGCCTCTTCCTCTCGCCCTTAGCTTCTGAAGTGCTGTGCCCAGCTAGTGAGATTGTATATAGCCCATAGTAGCACATTCTAGAATCATAATGTGGGTGCATTAACATATACAGAGCCGTATATAGAAAGAGTTTGGTCAATGAGAGGAGCGGACAGAGCATGGCCGTGCATCGGACGCAGATAGAGGGCTAGACGTGCTCTCTTGGCCAACCAGAAGCCGAAACTAATCCCCTAGCGATGGTAGCGGCAAACAGTTTTAATAAGTGCGTAGGAGTTAAAAGCGGTAACTCTTCATGGTTGCAGATATGGTGCACGTAATGTTTCGATTATGATCATGCGAAAAGACCTAAGAAACTAATGTGCCGCTCGAACTTTGTTTTGTTCGGACAGAGTCTGACCGCTTGGAATTCCCGGCCCTCAATGCTCAACGTACGGATTATGTCGATTGTTCTGCTAGTCACACTCACTTTTTATAACTTCCACATCTTTATATATCTTCCACCATGGTTTTGCATGACCATGATCGAAACATCACATGCACCATATTTTCAGTCACCGAGAGTTACTCAGACTCACTTATTAATTTTGTTTTCACAGCTTCTGGTTGGCCACATTCGAATTTCTGAAGGCGCCTTGGAACATGCCCAACCCGCGTTTAGCCAATGGCGCCTCTTCATTTGCCTCCTGTACTTCCCAATGAATGGCCAGACTCTTTCTATATACAGCTCTGGACGTATACTAGTACTACCGTAAAGTTCCGAGAGAACGCCCCCGCCCGAAACCTCGCCCACCCACCTTTTTGGACGAAATATATATTTTAATAAAGTTCCCAAACATCGCCCACCCCCTAAAAATCGCAGTAGCTTCGACGCATTCGAAAGCCCGGGAAGCCCCCGCCGCGAACATACCTCTGGAAAAACCGATGACTCGTCCGCAAACACCGCCAGTGACCCGATTTCTAACAAAAGAGAAGATCTTTTCCGGTTAGATTGATAAGATAAGGGCGAACTAGAAGTGAATCATTCAAGACGTCCGAGTACAAAGGAAAAGAAGAAACAGCTCAAGCAAACAAACTCCACACTAGTAGACAGTCATTCCTCTGCGTGCCCCGCAGCTGTTCACCTGCCCTCGCTTCCAGCATCGACCATGAGGAATAGCTACACCATCCAGAGAAAGGTGGAAGTTGTCCAGTGGCACAAGAAGAATGGAGACAACGTAAGCAAAACTGCAAGACATTTTGAGCTGGACAGGAAACGTGTTCGCGAATGGAGCACCAACTACCAGTCCCTTCTGCAGCAGTGCCACGGCAAAAACAAATTCAAGAGAGCCATCAACAACGGACGGCCGGTCTTCAGCGAAGAGCTCGATGAAGCACTCATGGACTTCTTGGATACCGAGCGGGCGGCGGGGCGAGCGGTGAGCAACCGCGTCCTTCAAAAAGAGCACGCACGCAAGTTGGCGGTTCAGATGAACCTGGGCAACTTCGAAGCTTCGAACCACTACCTGGCCCGCTGGAAAGCCCGCTTCAATGTGTCGATGCGAGTGGGGACGAACGAGAGTCAGAAGCTGCCGGCTGACTACGCTGACGCAATCTCCGTCTTCCGGAGGGCTGTGGGAAGCCTGCGCCTGGAGCACAGTTACTCCAACTTTAGTATAGCCAACATGGACCAAACCATGGTACGCATGGACTGCCCAGCCAAGCGGACAAACAACGTTGCCGGCGAATCAAGCATCCGCATCGTGAACACGGGCTGTGCGCGTCGTGGACTGACGGTTGCACTCTGTGCAACAGCTGCGGGCATCAAACTCCCGGCTCTCATCGTGCTCAAGGAACCGACGGGCCGGATCCCGCCAAGGGCACTGTTCGCACTTCAAATCCCAGGTATTGTCTCAATTTCCGCGTGCGGCCAATGTTACTTCTGGTTTGCCCAAACAAATTTCAGCATAAAAATAAGTTGAAAACATGCACTCACGCCTTTCGCATAAAAAAAAAAAAAAAAAGTTTTAGGACAGCGTTGTTTTGTGAACGATATAAAAAGCGCCTTCCACATGTATTTGTGCATTTCTAGTAGAGGGCGCTGCATGGGTTCGTCACAAGTTTTGTTTTTTCATCAATACCGTCAATACTACGCAGCGATGCGGCGATGCTTTCGTGTTTGCGGCTGCTCCGGTTGTTGGTGGTTGGTTTTGCCGGAGTTTGGAATGAAACCGAATCTCGGCTCCTTTCAGAAAATGTGAGAGTGACCTGTTCAAGGAACGGATGGATGACTACGCCGGTCTTCCTCGAATGGGTGCGGAGGGTGTGGGGTGCCAACAAAGACGACGTGAGGCGGCTGCTCGTCTTGGACCATGCGCCCATTCACAAGACAGAGGCAGCGCGGGAGGCCCTCGACGGGAAGGAAACCGACGTTGTCTTCATTCCTGGCGGGTGCACGTCTATTCTCCAGCCAGCAGACGTGTGCTGGATGAAGCCCTTCAAAGATGCTCTCAGGAATCGTTGGTCCTCCTTCTTGCGGGAAGGGGCTGTCACCGCCAAAGGGAACCTCAAGAAGCCGTCGCGTCAGGATGTCGTCAGCTTCGTGTCCGAGGCTTGGGCATCTCTATCGGAGGAGGCCGTCCTGACGTCGTTCAAGCGCTGCGGCATCTCAACACGCCTCGACGGCTCAGAAGACGGGGAGTTGAACCACCGCCTGGCCTAAGCGACGAACCAGCGATGGGGCCCGAAGCTCGGGAGAGCATAGTGGACGAAGTAGTGCAACTCGTCTTTGACAGCGACAGCGATGAGTCGTTCGATGGATTTAGCGATGACGAGTGAGCAATAAATGCGTATGCACCGCTGATCTGTCAAATGCAGCCATTTTTTTTGTAGTTTTTGGCCCTTGGCCCGAAACTTCGCCCACCCCATGTTTTTCACCATTTATCTCTTAATTTTGGGTGGGCGTTCTTTCGGAACTTTACGGTAGGTAGTTGAGCTGTTGAATTGGGTGGAGGCTTGTGCCACCTAGTTGGCATGTTTACATCTTGCATATTTGAAAATTTGCATCGGTTGCTTATTTTTGATGATCAACTTGCTGGGTTCCAAGTTTATGAAGTGCCAATACTGTTTTTATTTTTTGTATAAAAAAAGTGTGTTAATCTGTCATGCCTTCTAGTACAAGAGAAAGCATCAGTGTGATTTGGACATGGGAGAGAATAAAGATGAGAATTGTTAAGCATATCAAGTACCAAGCACGGCCGGTAACCGGAACCAAATGCCTGACATCCCATCTTCGTAACACTTATGTTCTCAAGCATCCATCACATAGGGTAGCTTTTAAGGAAAAATAAAAGGAGAAAAGAACAGAAATTGTACTTGGCGAGAAAACATCCAATTTAATCTGGGCTGCTCATGAGAAAGCCAGTGCCGACAATTATTGCCAATGTTTTTCACCAATACCAGTCATCAGCAGGAGATAAGGTTAATTAAAACTTTCTCATTGATCATAGGTTGCCAATATCAAAAGCGGAGAAAACCTCAACCTTTGTTGGCTAAGGGGGCATGTGGTTTCTGTTTTTTTTTACAAATGAAATATGAGCAGTCGAATGCACAATACACTACAGATTTGAACCACAGTCTATCAGGGTGACTTGTATGATCTCTCATCACAAGCCACACTGTCCACTACGGTCAGAAACACCGAGCATGATTCGTTTCGCAACAGTGCTTTTACATCGAGCTCGCAAAGAATGCACGCTTGTATGTCTTTGTTATTATACCTTGTTGAGCGTCAGCAACCAATGCGGGGTTTACATACTTCCCAGGTTGAAGAGTGTGTCGTCTGCTCGGACAAGAAGGCGTCCGTGCTCTTCAAGCCGTGCGGTCACATGTGTGCCTGTGATGGTGAGTTTGCATACTTGTTGACGTTTTCATTGTTGCGTTTATTGATCGATTGAGTTAACGAGTTACATTCGTTTGGTTATGGAAATATGACGAGTGCATCTCAACCTACACTCTATTGCCCCCTATTCGAGGTTGGGGGTGGGCATCCAGAATTGTTTTCTGTTTGCTGGAAGCTCGAACGACTGATCGTGAAAGTAAATAAACAAATATTCCTTGTGGTTGTCCCCAGCCCGGGTTACAACGAGGTTGTTGGAAATCGGAAATCGCTAACATATATATAGGGTTCCGTGTTTTCGGATAAACCTGAAAAAATCCAAAAAACACTGGCCGGTAAGTTTTTTTAGCAATTCGGATTTATCCGAAAGATTCCGAATTTCGAGGTCACAGTTTTACAACTTAACTTTATAAGAGCACAAGGTCAGTGGTCCTGAGGAGATTCCACTTCAGTTTCCTTCGAAATTTGGAACTGCTGAAAAAGAGGGGTTTGCTTTTTAGCACGTCAAGGTTCCTTCAGGACAACAAGTCATATTACCCGAACCTTATTTATTTTTTTTTTTCCAATTTTTGAACTTTAAATGGTAAAATAATCTCTGAATTTCAAAGACTTGAGAACCTAAAAAAAATAAACTCCGATAAACCCCGAATCCCCAATGAAAAATAAACTCCGAAAAACACCCTCCGAATTTCACGAGAAATCAACTCCGAAAACACGGAATCCTACCTATATCCGCTTTTTCATGCATATCATGAATTTGGTGTAACAAAAAAAGTCAGGTTATGAAGAAAAGGTGGTCATTTGTTTATTGCTTCTACATGAAGTCGTTTAGAATTCTCTCCACGTGTTTCGCAAGTTTAGCGATCATGGCCTCGATATCGTCTAACTGGGAACCAAATTCCTGGTCAAGTTCGGAACTCTTGAGGTATGTATACTCAAGGTGTCGACTGCTAGGATGACTGCTTTGGCGTTCACTGTCTGGACATTACAACCACAGCCGGAGGAGCTGTCAACAACGGTTCTTTCCGAGACTCTTGGCAAGTCCGTCAGTCGACAAGTCCTTTGTGATCACTAGGTAGTCGTCCTAAAAAACAAAGTCCATGTGGGATCTATGACAGGAGGCAAAAGGTCCTCGTAGAGCTTGATGTGCCTGGCCGACAATCAAATCCTTTTTCTTGTAACTGCATTTTCGTTATTAGTGGGTTCGTCATAACCGGGCTAGATTTACTGCGCGACAGACGGCACCTCTATAGAATGCATATTGTGTAGCCAGTTAATTTTCCCGTTCTGACTAGATAAGCCAGACTGAATTGTATTTTGTTCTTGTTTACTGGTTGTTTGTGATTCTGCAGCTACAATCTGACACCAGCCTGCATTGTGACATCGGCCTGCAGTGTACCTCGTAATCATAATCACAGAACCTGCTACGCCAAGTCACTTAGTGAATTTGTTTGGTTGAAGCTAATGAAATACAAACTAGTATCTCCAAAGTAGTGAAAACCCAACATTGTATGCTTACCTGGCGGTTCACAATATGTATGAGGCTTCACATTACCGGAAGGCCGCTATACTACGCCTAAGAGAACATGAGTTCTTTTCGTGTTTTCATCGTAAAAGTTTCTTACCTCGTCATTAGTCGTTCCATGGCAAAAGCCAAGAGTCGTCGTATGACAGCTTTCCCGCAGTCTTTGCGCTTTCTTTTTCAGGTTGTGCGGCGTTGATGAAGAAGTGCGTCCAGTGCCGCGCTCAGATCGACAAGGTGGTTCCGTTTGCGGTGTGTTGTGGCGGCTCAGGTGAGGATGACGACGCCGAATTCTTTAGCATTATTTTCATTTTGTTTTTTTCTAACGTATCAGTAGTGCATAGAATGGGTGGAAATTTGAGCACGCATCTGCATTTGCAACTGCAGTGGCAACTGCAGTGGCAACTGCAGTGGCAAGGTTGAGCGGTAGATCAATTCCTTTGACGAGAAGGAAACTTGGTCAATGCTAAACCGAAGCATTCGGCGAAGACACTGGGAAAAAGCGGGGTATGGCGACCACGTCGTCGTCTAGAGCCAGAGCTGGCAGGAAATGTGCACCTGACATTTTTTAGTGATCTGGAGCGTGTATGATCCTTGCTCGTATTTTTCATACATTTGTAAATCTGGGGATCATGCATCATGGGTTCCCAAACTGGATTCCAAAGAATATTCCAGACTGTCTCTCCCCTATGCAAAGTGCTTTTACAGCGATAGCTGCCAGGGGCTCTTTTCACATCTGGAAACAACGTCAATTGTTGATGTTGTAGTTGGCAGTGTAGGGCATTCAGCGTCGATCATGCAAAATACTACTTAAAGAAGATAGCCCGTCGCCGCCACCCATGGGAATCGAACCTGGGTCCACTGTGTGCAAAGCGGAGAAGTTACCACTGAGCCACGCCGTAGAGTTCACGAGCCGCTTTAAACTTGGGGGCTTTGTGTAACCGATGCCCACTGCACGCACCCTCTGGAAAAATAAAAATAGTCAATAACAAGATGCCGTTGTAGCACTGTCAATGCCAAGAGCTCGTGCCGGGAAACATGCTTTCACGCAAACTGGAACAAAAAAGAAACAGAAGCGTTAGGAACAGAGCAGAGAGGAACAACTCTGTCTCTGGAGGGGGGGAGCTATGTGGCAGTGTCGATCGGCACGAGCAGAAGAGAGCATGTGCCGAACACAGGCCAGGACGCATCAAATGGGAATACAAAGTTTTAACCAAATCTTCACGTAGTATACTTGCATTTTTTCTGTCGTCTGCTCTAGGTCACTTATCTATTTCGTTTCGAACTCTTTTGTTCGCACGGTGCGTGAATGCGATGCCAAGGCCTCGCCTTGGCATCGCGTTCACCTGTTGCCTTCACCTGTTGCTTGACTTCGCCGTGACCTCTTGCAGCTATCGCTGTGACTATACTTTGTATTAACACAGGACTGCTCAATTGTTTTCTGTTTAAACACCGTTTTGGGGATCTGAGTTACCCACTATGAGCCAGTCACTCTCTAGTTTGTGAATTATTGTCTAAAAAGCCGCTTCTGGCTCTTCTTTACTGGGCCAATCAGTCAGCATCAGTTTGAAAATTATATATTATTGCTCAATTGAGGGCTTGAGCGACCCTAAGGCATCCTTAGGACCCGCTTTAGGGCCCTAAGGTGGCCTGAAGGACCCTAAGGCACTCTCTCCTAGGGTCCCTGAGGGACTCTAAGGGAGGCCTTCGGAGACATCGAAGGGTCTGTGGACCCCATTTGAGAACCACTGGTCTACATCTTAAAAATTGGATAGTACTCCTCCAGGCTCCCTGAACAGTACACGAAGACCGCTCACCCCCGTCGTTTTAATTTAAATTTTCCGTTGGTCGCTTTCAATTGCATCAGCAACAAAAAGGAAAAGTATAATTTAATTTTCAAGTTTAGTTTTGCCAAAAACTTTTTAAGTGACTGATATTTTCATTTATAATTTTTGTCTTGTTTCTGTTGTTTTGCATGCTCATTTGCATGTATGTCATGCGAGTTTAAAAGTAGGTGGAAAAATGTTGCAGAGTCCATTTAAGTTTCCATACTATATGCATAGAAATTTCTGCATGTTGTACTGAAATTTGCTTTTGTTGTATAAAGTTGTGAATTTATATTTTGCAACAAAAATCACCTTTGCTCGGACTTCTCTCCTTTTGCCATGAAATGGATCATTGCACCGACATTGAAAAATAATTTTTGTTTTTATCTCGTTGAAGCTGTTGTGGTCGAAGAAACGGAGGCCAAGAAGAAAACAGTAAACGTGCGTGCTCCACTCTCCAAGTCGGACATCTCTCTCAACATCTCCAAGTTCCCGACCGACAAAAATGAGAACTGTAAGGAGAACTCTTTTTGCTTTTTACTGTTCTTTTCCAAGTTGTATTTAATTTGTTTGGGCTTTTTGCCTTTAGGTTGTTCTATAGTCTGTTGCAACATAAGATGGGAAAGAGAAGCCCCTTCCACAAAGCTTTCTGCTCCCTAAGCTTGGAGATTTCAACATCTGCACTCGCCTCCAGCGTTTGCTCCGTTAACATTTGCTCCGAAAGACTGGAAGGCTTTGTGGGTGGAGCTTGTCCTGCTGTTCTTAACCTGCAACAGACTATAAGCATATGTTTAACATCTGCTAAGCATTTTCCTTTGAATTTCTTAAATGTGCAGTTCTTCACTGAGCCCATCAATGCTCTCGAAGTTTTCATGGTTTGAGCAGGGATGACTAAAAAAATTTAACTAGGTTGTGCTGGGAAAATATGAGTGTAGACATGTTCAAACACGTCTACACACAACAACATCTTCAAACACTTTTTAATTAATCAATATGAGTCATTTGAGATATTAAGACTTACGGTAGGTTGTTTTGATGAGACATATAAAAAAAACTGCATTGGAAAAATGTATCAGTCCTAATGAGGTTTGAAACCAAGTCTCCTTTGCTTAGTATCATGTTTAAAGAAACTTTTCATATCACTGTTTCAGTTCTAAAACCCTTATACATGTAAACATGAAAGAATTGTGTAATATACAGGGTGTTTTTTTAGGCTTTACACTTCACAGATTTGTTTTAAAAGAAATCTGTGAATGCTACACTAATACTATCTGTGCCGGTGAGTTTTACAGCCAAGGGGACATACCTAATATAGACCTTTCCATCCACAGACTCAGTCGCATGGGCGCTGCCATCTTGGAATAATGTGACACGGCTGCCATAAGTTGTTTTAATTCTTCGCTCCGCTCTCCCCTCTGCGCTTTGGTGGATCCATTGTATTAGTGTTTTTCGTTGCGTTTCACAGCACTTTCTTGCCTTTCTTTGTAAAGTATAGTTTGATACTTATCTCTACTACCTAATTGCATTAAATCATGATCTGCATAACTTCTGCTGTTATTTTTGTTACACGATTTGACTATTTTTGCCGTCGGCATACCAAACGCATGAAGATGAGGCACATGAATCAGCTTTAACACTGAGCCACATTGATATATGTAAATGACTAAGACAGCACGAGATTTCGAAGGTCAATTACAGCAATCCCCCATTATATTGAAATCACTTATTTCTAATAATCGATTTTATCGAAGTTCAACATGGTCTTGACCAAAATGCACACATTTTTATCTGGATTATTCGAAGTGTATTGGCGGCCGACCATGCTTATTACGAAGATCAAGGTGCCGAAAGCATGCAAGCCTGTACGGATGCGCACGGAGACCCCCCCCTCCTTCTCTCTTCTTTACCGAGGCAAACAGCAAACTGGAGTAAATGGGTGATGGAGTGCAGAGCACGCAGAGCTGACAGAGGGCCGCTTCCGATGCCATTACGCGAATGCGGGCAGGGAGCAGCAAGAGTGACGTCAACATTCCGACGCTACTTACGGCAACCCGTGGCGGACGCTGCCCAACTCCTGTCGGAATCGGATCAATTGGGAGCGATGCAGCCTAAGGGAGATCATCCCTTAGGGAGCCCTTGACGCATGTGCGCCTGCGGCATACTACACGCACACGTGCGTCGTATGAGATATTGGGTGTGTTTACCGGAAGTCATTTAGGTCTGCGAGGTTGAGAAAAGTGGCCAGCCCAAGTCCGAAATCGCCAAAGCATTTGACATTCCGGCATCGGCTGTTCGACGCTGTCTACCATTTTCAGAATAAGCAAGGAATATTGCACGGGCTCAAGAAATTTCTCATGCAGGAGAAAGCACGGCCGCAACCCAAAGATGAAAGATCGCCAACTGCTTCGCGCATGTCTGATTTTCTCTTGCGAGCATGCTTGCCGAGCCGGCGCACTATTTCCATAGCTGTGACAATCTTTACAGGAGTGTGTGAAAACATGTTGGGAAAGCCACAGAGGATAACTTTGATTCATTTATGCTTGTTGATGCAGACATTCCCATTGTTGCTCCTGCCACGGATGCTGTAATCTTAGACCTTGCATGCGGCCAGGGTGAGCACAAAGCGACGTCGGAAAGGCACCTCGGGATTCGCCGACGATTATGGAGACGCGAAACATCCTACAGCTGCTTCGAAACAAATTGCAGTGCAGCGGCGGTCACAGTGTTCTTGCAATGCCCGAAGCAGTTCAAGGGAAACTGATGCCCGGATGAAATCATCGGCTAACTCCACTGAATTATTTTTTTACTGAGATGTTCATAACCAAGGTTTGTTTGATTAATTATACGGTCACAGTGTTCTGCGGTGTTTCCATCCACCTTCAAGGCTGCTGGCAACATTTTTTTGGCTCTATCGCTTTTATCGAATTACCGCTTATATCCCCGTTGACTTCGTTAGAATGAGGGTTTACTGTACTTACGACAACTCAGGTTTGTGTACTAATATTGGCGGAAGATTTGCAATTACAAGCACATATGTTTATGACTGGATTGGAAGAAGTCAAGTATAGTCAGCGTAGGGAGACTATCTGTTTTGGATAGCATTGTCCTTTGTAATCATAAGAGGTCGAAAACAGCTTTCTGTTCACTTTTGAGGGGGCTCGTGGAGGAGATAGGCAACGAATGTTTCACTTGCATTTTATCTGATGCTAAGAATAATGGACCTGTTCACACAGGTCCATGAAGTGGCGCCTAGCGTTACACTTCAGCCAAACTTTTCGAGGTACTTCTCCTGCACCGTTTATTATATTGGGCCAATTTTACGGATGCCAGACTTAATGTGACAGGCTGTCACTTATTTCATGTTTTGTACGCCGTACAAAAATGTCCCTATAAAAAATAGTTTATTTCCTAGGGCCAATATTGTGAAATGTTGCTTATGAGTACTTTAACAGGCTGATAGTGAAAGAAATTTTCTACTCAGGCTGAATCGCGCTCAAAAACTTTCTCGAGTACTTTTTTTTTTTTTTTAATGAAACAGGCCAACTTGGTGTTTGTACCCTCTTCGTACCCTCCGTCTTGGGTTTTAGAAATGTTTAACTTTAACCAGCTCACCTGCCTTATTACGTTATCTCTGTGTCATTGTATGAAACTTTTTTAGTCTTCGAAATTCTCTCAAAGTTGGTTCTCCATGAAAACAAAACAGTTCATCTGTTCTTACCGATTCAGCACATTGCTAGTCTAGCTGTCGACCTGCTTCTTCACATTCACGTATTAGTCTCTTCATTGTTTGTTTCTTTTTTTCTGAAAACTAGCATTATTGGGCACAGCCAAAGACAATGGTAATCCTCCCCGTATGTTCATCAGTTATGTTGTGTCTCCACCGATTATAAGCAGTTCCATCAAAGGTGTCCAAAAAAAAAACCTTAATTTAGGCTCAAAACCACTTCGTAGACTTCAGAGTGGTTCAGTACCACTGTTTCATCGATTATGTGCTTTAAAGGGATACTGAATCGAAACTTAAAATATACAGGAAACACCTAGAGATAAGTCAAATGGAATCAGATTAACCTGTAATTGATAATCGCATAGTCATATTTCAAGCGGATGGCTGTATTTTTCGTTCTAAATGCCTGGATTTCGGCGAGCGCTTCAAAATCAGCCGTCGAAGAGCGCGATGCACCTCCGGAGATCCGGCATGGTCTTGACGTCATCATGCCTCGGAGGGCCAAGCGTACCATAGTTACGAGTCTTGCCACTTGGTGGCATCAGCGTGTTACAATCTCGCACAGTCGAAGTACCCGAGGGCTGTAGTAGCATATTGCGGAGCCGGCGGAGCGGCTTCGCAATATGCTACCGTCGCCTTTCAGCCACGACGGTAGTTGTGTTGACTTCTTAGCGATCGAGTTCGTTATCAGTTGCGGTCGACGGAAGCGGCTGTCTCGTGATCAGGAAAGGTGGGCATGCAAGCCCGTTTAAATAGCCATTTCGTAGCGTGAATATTGCATCGCACGTACACAATCTCCAAACCACCCGAAGCGTTGCCGGAAAGACCACCCGGTACTAAAATGAGCGGTGGCCAACTCTGCTGTTGCTTTCTTCACCAAAGCGCCTCGGTACTACTTTCAGGCCTAAGTAATGCCTATGAGTGTCCGTACTTCCCGTTGTGGCGCTGCTCTTACGGGCATGTTGTCGTCACGACATTCCATCGAAGCTTCACAGACATCCACGAGGTGATTTTTGGTTATCGTTTTATTCAGTTCAAAATTCGTTTTCTCGCGTTATCCTACGGAATATTGGTATCGGTGAAGTCCTATTTTAACCCTCTTTATGTTCCAGCAAAGAGATGGACTGTAAAATTTGGTTTCCGTACCCCTTTAAGGGGAACATTTGTATCACAAAATTAAGCATAACTGCATAAAACAGCAACACAGCCGCATGCACGTTTAAACTGAAACCAACCAAATCAAAGCAACCTAATGGCGGCAAGTAGCTCAGCGTCCTCTATCCTCTGGTCAGGCAACTACCGAGATGAAAAGGTTTATAGGGTCCTAACCGTCACGATAAGTTGGTTAATAACTAAACTTTATTCATATTTAAATAGCAAAAATAAACACATGGTTTCAAATAGAAACATGCTGAGTGTCATAGAATACTACTAGTGCATAAGTAAATTGTGGTGGATTTGGTGCGCATGGGAAGTGGAGTGGTTTGATCAAGTTGCCACACATGCAATGGGCGCAATGCTGCCGGTGCGAAAATGCGGATGATAAGAGATGGAAATATTGCGTGTGCACGTTTCTGCTCCACCTCCATAAAATACCGAGCATCTGCCCATTCCGCACTAAGTGCCTTCCTCCTAATTTTGTAACATCTGAAAAAATACACTCAGTACAAATATATGTAAAATTAATGACCTAACAAGTGCCCATCCCCCACCATTTGCAATTATCTCAAAATTTTGAGTGGGTGCTTCCGCAGTACAGTCGAATCTCGTTAATTCGAAAAATTTGTTTGAATAAAGCAAAGTTTGAATTTCCGGGAATCGCCTCCCACAGAGATGCATATATGTTGGGACCTGCATGTTCGTTTGAATTGTCCACAAGTTTGAATTGAATAGTTGTTTTTGGTGATGCTCAGCAAGCTTCTGATTGGAGCCATATCTTTATCTTCAATAATTAAGCAGTCAATTAACTAATTTAACTTGATTAGCTTACTTATCATGACAATATTCTATATCACGTCCCCCTGGCCGTATAACTCACCTGCGTAGACCATGGTTTTTTTTAAACAAATCTCCAGAGCCTTAAAAAAGAACACCCTGCATGTGCATAGAATGGCATTTGAGACAGATAACATTGTGGAGTAAGCAGTGAACATTGGAACATGTAGTTATCTACGAGGAAGATGGATGGATTTATGATATTGTCACAGATGGGAAAGGATCGACAAGCACAAAACTGAAAATAGAGGTTTCATTGGCAAACCTGTACCAGAAACAAAAGAAAGAAATAGTGTCGAGAAAACCGCAGCGAGGGTCGAAGGCGCTGCAGCAAATGTCTCGATGTCGGCGTGATAGCAGGCTAGCACGAGAGGGAGTCGGCAAGGCCGCACTGGGCTCCTTAGCTAATACCCTCGGTACCTCGAATATTCGGTCTAGAATGTTTGAACGTCGAACATTCGGGGGACTGACTTAGCAAGGTCATGCTCCTTATCTGTTACCCCCGGTGTAAGAGTAAGCGCAAATCTTCTAGAAGTACGGAGAAGCGTTTCTTCTTGGTCATGTGTGGGTAGGGTGACCGTATTCCTCAAGGAGAAAATGGGACATCCCAACAGGGGGGTTGATTGTCTTAGAGATTGAGATTGGAAGAAACAATTTAATGAAATAACTGCTGTTATTTCAAAACGTCATCATATCGCACTCAATTTTACTCTCTGGGTAAATATCTCTTGCCTGCGTTCACGCCACCTCTCAACAATAGTATGCGGCTGCACTTTAAAAAACTATTAACCCGCTTGGCCCCACCGTACAACCAGCAAACCAAGCTAACCCAAGCCGCCGGAAAGGGAGTGCCATACTATTTAGTTCAGCAAAGTTTCGTCGACAACATTAGTTTTTTTTTCTTCCTCAGTGTTAATTGTAAAAAGAAAAGTAAATATCGCCGAATGCCCCCAAAAAAATGTTTGAAAACAAAAAAAAAAGTAACCACACTCTGTGGATTGAACCTGGGTCCGCTGCTAATGAAGCAGGCACCTTTCCACTAAGCTATGCTACTTTTTTCCTTTTTTTATTGCAAGTTGAAGCTTTTTGTAACCATTCGTTTTATACCAGACCTACTAAGTTTCGCGCCGTGCGTATAGCCATTGTACAATATACTTGTAGCGAGTAGGCATAGTTTCGGTTTTCTTCAACTCGTTTGGTGCCAGTCTTGAAACTATGCACTCCTGCGAAAACGGGACATGATTCGTTATTAGGACAAAAAGACGAGACGGCAGAAGCGGACTTCAAAAACAGGACTGTCTCGTCCAAAAACATCTGGTCACCCTATGCATGGGGCAATATAGCTTTTGGTTCCGGTACACACTCAAGAGAGGCACTTAAAAGAGCCATTGGTTCCTTCTTAATTAGATTATCATTATAAGTCATTCAGCAACATTAACTATAGTCAGGGACAGGTTAAGAAAAGCTTTCCGGCTGGGGAGGGGGAAGCAGACGGAATGCTGAAGAGAGGAGGAAGTTTTCTCTTTTTCCCTCCAGCATTCCGTCTGCTTCCTCCTTCCCTGCCCTCCTTTTCCTCGAAAATGTTTCTTAACCTGTAACTCACTATAAAAATATTAAAAACAAAAAAACAGAGACTGCAACAGTCGAGTTACGAGATGTCAATAACTGTCGGTACTTTTTGCCATACCAGGGAAGGTTGGTACACAGATTTGCCTCTGCTTGTGATCGACTCCGTTACAACCACCAACATCTAGCAGCTGTTGGCAGTTGCAACTGCCGTGAGGGGCAAGAAATCTTATAAAAGAACCTTACTCCTGGCTCATGCGCTCATGGCTAAGCGGTCCGTAGAATCCAAACATGAACCATATTGTTTTTGCTAAGCTTATGGAGAGTCACAGCTTATAATGACACATCTTTTTTATCACTGTTGACGATCGTAGACTTCTTTCTTTTCTCCAGATTAGTCCGGGAATTAGTGTTTCGTTTTTAAGTGACTGCAGAAAACTGTAGAAGTCGGGGGAAACTTTGAAGTGTTATTTTTTTAGATATTCTATTCGATTACCACTGTATGCAAAGTCATGCATTGACACGCTGTCTCCTTGTCTCTTTTGCACAGCTCCGTCAGCATCATTGCTGGCCGCCCTTCCCGGTCACGTGATGAACAATGGAGTGCGCGACAGCAACGTCAATGACTTCCAGAAACTGCAGCAGCAGCTGCAAGACATCAAGGAGCAGGTGAGGATCTTAGTGTCCGACAATGATGCTCGCAAATCGCTGCGATATTCTTTTTCTTTTACGGCGATAGCCGTTATTGACAAGGTTTAGCAGCGGATCCCCAGGTGTGTTATATCTAGAGTCGTTGTGCCACATGCTGTCAATGTTGATGGCGCAAATTTTTTAACTTTCCAATAGTAGTTTCGAATAATACGCTATTATTCGGTACTTGCTTCGATATGAACTGCAATACTCATATTTTTCCGAGTGCCAATCGCGGCGGGTCAACCCCATTAGGCGCGCTTCTTACCAAGCACAGGTGCATTGCGGAGAAGCTACACTGGCAGCGTTTGCTTCTGCAGGTGTTGCTTGTCTGCAGTGCATCAGTGCTCAATAAGAAGCACGCTCAACAGAGCTAACTCACCGCGATCAACACATGGAAAAGTACAAATATCACAATCATGTGCTTTGGAGGAATGCACACTTTCAAAGCGGATGCACGCACACCTGGTGTGTACAAAGATAATTGGAAAATTTATGAATGTTGATATCTATATTGCAGTAAAATTTTCAGACTTAAACTGCAAATATTATTATGCGAGAGTATATGTTAGGCAGAAATGCCCGTGAATTCATCACTATTATTTGGCTTTTTTTTTTCTTGAATTTGAAACTGAAGGAAAGATATCTGCATACAGCTAGAAGTTTTATAAATCTCCTCGATTAGATTTAGCTGTACATCTTTATAGGCTTACTTTTATGTCAATTGCATCATTTAGTTGCCATCCCAATACAGTTCAGCTGAGTGCAGTAAAGAAAGTCCTGGAGAAACTATTCAATATTTGGTTCAATAATATTGTCAAAATGAACTGTTCACATGTGCCTAATAATGTCAATATTGTCGTGTCATGTGTTGTCATTTTCTCGCTGAATCTAGCGGGAAAGTTTCTCCGCCTACTTTAGCGAGAGAACTTCTTCACTAGTATTTCTAACGGGAAAATGCCTGTGTGCAGTGTGATTGTGTGTAGTCTGTGCTGAGCGTATACAGCCCCTCTGCTTTTGCTACATTTCATTTGAAAGACACGGTAAGGAACCTGCACCTGTTTAAATTATTAACTGCTCAACTTCCACTAAGCTACTATCAAAAGCTACATCCTTTTGTGCAACGTCAAAGTCCATTTGCAGAGTTGGAGCGATTTGAAAGCACCCTGTACTAGCTACTATGTACAGTCATAACTGCCTCGTTTCTCAGTAAAAAGTAAAGGCAGCCCTTAAACTGCGCTGCATCTGTCCCTGAAATTTTTTTTTTTTTTTTTAGCAGTTAACATTGCAGTTGTACCCCAATGAAAACTGGGCGAACCATATCCAAGGAGTGCTGCCCCAATATAAAATGAAATTTTCGGGACATTCGCTATGTAGAAGGTACAAATCCGTTAAAGGTAGACTAGAAAGTAGTAGGCTTAATGCAAGTACAAAAAGAAAGGCAACAAGCAGCAGATGTGTTAGTCACTTCGTTTGCTTTAACCCGTAGTCACACCGTCAATTCGTTCTTGCAAGCATTTGTGCTCGGAACTGACGTCAGCCGCATTGCCAGTGCCGCAGAGGTTCATAGCCCCCTGCATCCCGTGATCCCGTTCCTTTCCCCAAACAGACCATGTGTCCCGTGTGCCTGGACCGCCTCAAGAACATGATCTTCCTGTGTGGGCACGGCACGTGCCAGATGTGCGGCGACCGCATGTCCGAGTGCCCCATCTGCCGCAAGTCGGTGGAGAAGCGCATCCTCCTCTACTGATGGTTCTGGGACCCTTAGGACCGCACGCTCGCAACCAATTACATCCCGGTCGTGATGGGCATTTCGGGCCTTTTGCTGCCGGCAGACTGTCGTCGTCTTCTGACCGTGACGAAGCAGACTGCTTAAGACTGGTTCATACATTTGCGTTTGATTATGACCGACTGCGTCGCAACCACTTGTAACCGCTTCCAATGAGAGAATGCACACTGGCGTTGTCTATCGAGTATTTGGGAACACTTCAAATCTGCATAAGTTTTAGGCACAGTGTTACAAGTAGAGTTCTGTGTTTTCATATAAATCCAAAAAACGCTCGCGGGTGAAATTTTTCTGCAATTCGGGTTTATTCGGAAAGCTCGGAATTTCCAGGTCATGCTCGCAAAAGGTAAAATGAAAGAGGCAGTACTATTTAAGGAATAAATACGGTCAGAGCGTGGGATCGGTGCTAAGTGCGTAACCTTAAGTAGGTGGCCCCGAGGAGAAGCCACTCCAGTTTACTTTCAAATCTCGAAATAAATTGACAAAAAGGGATTTACCATATCTCTCGTCAAAGTTTGTGTGGGGCAATGGGTCCTTGTATATTTCTGGGCCATGAAGAATAGTTTAAACGATTTTAAAGCGTCGACGACGCTTGTCTGAGAGTTTTGTCGCCGGACGGTTGGTGTTCCCAAAGGGAAGGGCGCCGACGCCAAATCAACCTAAAGAAATAATCCTTCAACACAGGTGTATTCTTAGAAACTCAATTTTATTTCAAATTTCGAAAAATTGGGATGCTAGCACAATTAAATTTAAAATTCCAGAGAATTGGGAATCTAACAGAATTTTCGGCAGAAAATAAACTCAGAAAAACACACCCACCTAACTTCACGAAGAGTAAACCACCAGAAACACGGAACCCTCTTATAGTAGTTACAAGCGAACACTTCTCTTGGATGGGGCACCGATTTGGTCTTGCAATACTGCAAAACCTTCAGTCTTGTTATACTCAGATTGGAAGTGTTTTTAGGGCCACCTGCTGGATGTTGGCGGTTGCAGCGCAGCCGGTCACACTCGGGCATAAACGTGTACTACACCAGCCTTCCCCGGTACAGGGACGAGTACCGACGGTTATTGGCATCTCGTAACTGGACTGTTGCAGTGTCCATTTTTTTTTTTTTTTTGTTTTTAGTTAACATTGTTGATGGCTTATATTGGTAATCTAATTATGAATGAACCAATGGCTCTTTTGACATGCCGCTCGTGAGTGTGTATTGGAACCATTCATACTTGTGGTTCACAGTTGTGAGAAGATGCGATTCTTAATTGGATTAATTCTGTTGCAAAAACAAACGTTGAACCGATTTTACTTTTTAATGGTATTCAAACGGTTACGGGCGGTTAAGAGTAACCCGAGGCCAAGCCGTCGTAGTTTGGATTTTGTCACCTGCGCTGTCGTAATTTTGATTTTTGGCCCGCGTCGTCGTAGTTTGGACTTTTCACCTGCATCACCATAGTTTGAATTTTTCATCTGTGTGGTTATTGGATTTAAGTGACAGACACAGCGGGAGTGCTGTAGCCTGCACGCGGTATAATCATTGATTACCAGTGCTTGCCAATTGATTACCAGCAACTGAAAGATGAGCAGTTTGCCTATTACTTTGAGTGTCCCTGATGTTTTTGTTTTTTCTCTACCGATTTATATGTGGAGCCAAAGAATCGGTTCAGGTGCATTGCTAACATCAAGACCCATTACATTTGAAGGGCGTAACGCAAACGTAATCAGAAGTGGGACTGTTTGAATCTGGGTATTTGTATTTCAACGTCCATATGTTCTTAGTCTCGTGTGTCATCACACAGAGAGATGCCACTGCTTGTCTTGCAGATGGTATATAAAAACTCTTTTCATATGTTACCAGTAACCTAAGGCTGAGGCATCATTTATCTATCGTTCTTTTTTTCTTTGAATATATCATTGGTTTTTCCCAATGAAAAAGTCATTGCAATTTGTGCTGCTCACTGATGCCGTATCCCTCAATCGTTATGGAAGTTGCAAATCATTTGAATGTGTCGCTGTGACATACCGTCCTAGCGGCCTCCTGTGAGTAACAAAGCAAGGTAATCCGGAGAGCAAGTCGTCCGCTTCTTGCGCAGGAGTTGCGGTGACGTCAAAACGGCGCGGAGCTCCGATTGGCTTTGATTGAACGGATAGTGGGTAGTCCTCAATGCTAGATGCCTTGAGCTCTGCCCACCATTTTTTTTTATCAACCAATAAGAGCTTGGTGTTCTGGCATCATCGCCACCCCTGTGCAAGAAGCAAACTTGCGCTCCGCACATACTTTGTTTCAAACTGGATGCTGATTTTGCCATGGCTGATTCTCTCTTTTTTTTCCTTTGCTCTTTTATGCAAGTGAGACTGTAAATGAAATTACCACTCTTTCAGCAGAGGGTTATGTGTAGGTAACTTTCTCGCCGAGAATTCGGAACTTGTCAGTTGTTCGACCGTTGATAATCAATAAGCATAGAAATTGAATCGGTAGTAGAACACATTAAAAAGTAACCTGGTTCATTACATCATGTTTTGTATGTAATATTGAACAAAGAAGGAACAGACGTCTTGCTTTTTTGTCCCTCTCAAAAGTTTGCACCTCCTACTACAATCACTGGCTGAATTACTGTCAGTGGTGACCGATAAGGATTTGCTCACTCTTAGTGTCTGAAGCTTTTTTTTCTTTATTTCTATTTTGTTTCCCCACAAGTTTTTTTTTTTTTTTTTTTCTTGTGTCTTGAAAGAGTGGAACTTAATACTGGCATATATATATTGTTCCCTTCATCCATGCTGGTATGCCAGTATATATTTCTGCTATCATTTTTTTGCTTTGCTTGCATTCAATCTTGGTATTTTTGTTTTGAGGGTGATCAAGAAAAGTGTTCCTGCTTGTTTCGATGGACATGCATGTCACACTATTGTTACATGTAGAACTTCCCTGCAGGAATTTGTTTCATGCACTTCAAGTCTAAGTTTTGTTGTATGCACTTTCTTACTGTAGAAATTCTGAGTTAGGCCGTCATGCTTGTCATTAAACATGTTTTTCTACTATAGTGTATACGACATTTAATCCAAATGTAATCCATCTACTACATATTTTAGTTGTAAGTGGCAGATCTTTTTTTTTTTCTTGCTTTTGAGTTTCATGAAATTGCACCCTTTTTTTCTAATTTTCCCAACTACACTCTTTTCAATATTGTATAAAGAAATGGTACTCAACAGTGATATAATGCACTGGTTATTTAGAAACTTTGTTGTCTTTTAAATTTGTAGACTCTCTTTTACAGGCCCATTCAAAAGATTGGGTTTCTTTCAATTTATGTACACCTCTGGCTTAAAAAAAATTGCTCCTTTATTTTGTTTTTGCTTTGTTCTGTATTTTTCCTAAGATATATGCATTTAGAAAGTTTATTTTGCCAATCAAAGCTTCCTACATATTGCAATGCCCTACCAGCCACTGCCTGTGCTGGCATTGCAGGAAATGGTGGCTGCAGTGGTAACAAACTAGTGACGTGTTGTTGCCAAAGTACTCTAACAAACAGCTGCATTAAATTTGAGATGAGGCAAAGTTTCTTAGGTAGTCGCATTTCACTCCGCGGTGAAGTATAGTTAGCACCTGAACATATGCCTGCAAATATGCATTTTTTTACTGCGTCACTGTGGCTACAGCGTTACTGGTACTACTGGACTCTTGCAGATCTGTGTTGTAACATTACGGAAAAGTGTGTGATTAGTGAAGCATGAAAGGTGCCTGTGAAAAGCAAAAGTTATGCAAGTTGTAGTGGGTGTTTTGGCGCGATGGAGATTTGATGTGTCTAATGAAACATTGTCTGTTGTGCTTCTGCCGCTTGCTTCTGCATGTATTGCATTCAAATTGAGCATTTTTCCTACCTGCTAACACAAGCCTGATTCAGATATCCTAGAAATTGAAGGTACATTTTTTTAGGGCTCTAGTGTTAGGATGGCTGTAGAGTCATTTGCAACACTTGCATAATAGTGTCTTTGTAGGCATTGTATTTTAAGCACTATCTAAAATCTAGGCATTTCTAAATTGAAGTCTTTGTGGTCTGCTAATTTGTGTTGACCATGTATTCTTCTTTTACTGCATCAATGGTGAGGAACATGAAAGGTGTTTTCCAAAAGCTGTGTAGGCTGTCTTATTTGCCCATGTGACCCAGAATTGTTTAACATGTATCGCAGAGTGCTCTACATTACTGCCAATGTCTACTCTGACATGCTAATTCTTCCCTCTTGTGTGGCATGAATGTGCAGCTATAAGCTTTAGTATTTATTCATCTTGCTTCTTATTCTAAGTGCACTGCAGTGACTGCTTTCATAATATATGTTTGTGTGGTTTACAAGAGTGTTGTCTTGCAGAAGTCCCAGTTCGAAATCTATTTTTTTTTTAAGAATTGTCTGCTTGCTTGGACGCCAAGACCACACAAAACCTTTTTTTTTTTTTGTAGTTATTATGTTTTGTTTGCTTATATTTATTGCACATTAAAGCTTTCCTATCCAAAACATGCATCCTTGTGTGTTCTTCTTGGACGTCTTCGTGTGTCTGGTTATTCCATGCTGTGAAATATAGCGGATTCCATTTTTTTTTCTGTAGGAATAAACCCTTGCTCGCATGCAATGCTCTTGCATCGTTATCAAAATGAAAATAAAGATTTATAATGATACTTCACTGTTTAAATGAGTCTTCGGTTGTGCTATGCGGGTATAGAAACTGAGAGCAAGGAGGATATGAGTGCATGCGGGGATGTCAGATGCAGAACTCTGGGGCCCTAATCTGGACACTTGGGGAAAAAGTCAACGAGAAATACAGTGGCCGTGATTGGCCGGCGCAGCACTTGACCTTGGCGCCGGCCAATCACGGCCACCGGATTTCTCGCCGACTTTCTCGTCAAGTGTCCGGATCAGCTAGGGCCCCTGGTTGGAATGATTGGGCCGTGCAGATACAAAGCTAGCTGCCTTTACGTCTACTCACTGTTTGAATGCTGTAGTATTTTTTTTTTTTTTTGTGTGTGTTTGTGGGGGCCCGGGGGAGTTAAACCTATAGTCAAAGAGAACAAGGACAAGGGCTCTTGCGCCCGGAAGTCAGGGGTGCAGTTCCAGTGATGAGAGTCGTAAATAGAGAGAGTTTGGTCAATGGGAGGAGCCGGCAGGAGCTGGGGTGGAGTGGCCAAAGTAGCGCCACCGCCAACGCCGTATATTCCCCTAGTGACGATCCTGCGTAGTAAAAGTATCTGAGACGGCCTTGAAGGAAGCATATAAAGGCGCAGGTATTTTTTGTTTCTGGATGAGGTTGAAAGTACATGAATGGATAATTGTAAGAGATTGAGGGGAAAGGTGAGATTCAAGGTGCTGAGTGTGTTAACTGAGCCAGAAAAGGTGACATTGAGGAGAAAAGTTTCTTGAAACATACAGCGAAATTGCAAACACGGGGTGCACATTCGGGATTAGGGTCAAAACTCCCACAGAGCCGAGCCCACGGTCTTTGCCGTCCATTTGGTGGCAGCAGCTGCGACTGCAAAAGAAAGATGGAGCGCATTCTGAATGTCGCCGTGATGACAACGTCGTGTGCGTTGCCCTTTCAGTTACGAAGAGTCGCAAATTTCAACTTTCGCGTGCTGAAAGGAAATGCTTGATTACATCCTTACCCAGAAATTGTGATTGGAGGGTGTAAGTTAAGGCCCGTTCACACTCTTGCAACTGAGCACAACCAAGAGAGACGAGACTTGTTAAAACCTCTTAAAATTTCTTAGGACGAGAGAGCACACTGCCATGCTGGCGCCATCTATGCGTTGACCCTGGAACTGCATTTCACAAGGGCGAAGGTTTTGCGAGATTTTCGAGGTCAAATGTGCGTAATACCGATAAGAAAGGCTCGTTTATAACGTTGACAAGAGTTTTTCGAGCCAAGAAAAAAAGGACAATGCACGAGAGAAAAAGAGAATATGCCGGACCGCCAAGTTTACACTGCTACCCAGTAGACGGCGCCAGTGTGTCCTCTCGTTGTAAGAGGTTTTATGGAACCCAGTTTTAGGAGGGTCGCAAGAGTGTGAACGGGCCTTTAAGCTCATTGCCTTTGCTAGGGGAATATTTGTGGCTGGTGGTTGTTCACAAGTGCTGTCAATCAACGCGCTCGAGGTCATTGAAACAATTTTGGCCAATGGTGTGCCTTTACTTTTGCCCTGTTCTTACCAATTGCTGACCGAACTCTCCACATATACGGCTCTGCCAGTGATGGGGTGGTGGCACCATCTATGAATGTGTACAGTAACTAAAACAAAATAAAATACTATGGACGCGTTTGAATGCCGGCGTCCAGCGTTTCGCGTTTGAACACTGACTAGAGACAAATCCTTTTGTGTCCACCCACTAAGTAGAGACAAAGCTTTTTGTCTACCCACAAATCTTTCCAACCAGAGCTAGGTGTTCCGATGTCCCCGAGCGCTCTTATCTCCTCCTCTCCCTCTGCCTCCAAGCAGGCGACGTGGGCCAACACCACCTTTTGTTATCTAGAACGTGTAGCGTGGACACACACTGTGCATGGGCTACCTGCCCTTCCTTGTTGCCTGCATGGTTGGAGGTCTACTTAGGAGTGCAATAAACCACATTAAACTATTAAACCACTATTGAGAGTCGATAAGAGTCTGCTATGATTATTTTTTGGTCCTTTCTCACCTCTCCTCACTGATCTAATTTGGATCTGCCAGTGGATTTAAAAGGCGCGCGATTACCAAGCAGGTGAGTGACCGTGGGTCTACCGACGCCCCCAAGTGCACGGGTGGATACATAAATACGGCTGATTACTTCGAATCGTGTGGCAACTCCTGTCACCCATTGATCTCTATGACAATTGCTGGATTGCGCTTTCCCACTCCGCGAATGCAGCCACTGGACGGCCATCCTGGGACACAGATAGTCAACCTTTTGGAGCGTTGCAGAGGCTGGACGGCAGCGTGTTGAAGGCACATTTTCTGCTTGTTCATCTTCATTCATCGAAGATGTTTTTTAAAACCTTTTGTAAACGATGAGAATTGCCTTTGAGAACACGTGAAAATTTTTATGAAAGCGCAGCACCGCAGAAAAAGGTGCAGCTTGTCGTACAGAAGTCTTGCCAGTCTCTCGGTGTGATCATAGCTTTCTTGGCACGCCGAAGTGCTGCGTCTCTGTGCCTTTGGACGCTTGGATGCTTATCAAGAATCAACGCCATGGCAAGGTTTGAAGGTGTGTCGCGCTTAGATGTCTTCTGGATCACCCAGCTGCTACGGCGAGTTGCTATCAATAAAAGAAAAAAAAATCTGGTTGCCATTATGCATGATTAACCATGGCTATGTTCCAAATCTACTCAAATGGATCACATGACAGCACAAAAAGAGCAATGCTGTGGAGGAAGGTAGATTTTCAAATGTAGAAGTATGAAACGGCAAGGTCGAAAGTTTTTAAGACGCCGCCCATATTGTTGTGGGCAATCTGTCGCCGTTGCCATACCCCTACACCTCATCCGTCGCCACTGGATCAGGCTCATTTCTGGACCACGAGTGCCGCAAGTTACAAATGCAGTCGTAACACATCTAAAAATTCCCATTAGATCCAATTGGAATTTTAACGTTTTAACTGGAATCAATTGGTTTTAGTGGGTTCTAATTGGAAGCGTACTGGACAATGAGTCTCACCAATTGGATTTTATTTTCCAGTTGGAATCTGAATAAGTTTCAAATGGTTCCTGTTGGTTCCCATTGACAATGACCAATTGGTTGTTTGAAAACCTAACTAGTACCAATTGGAAATTCCAATGCAGAGGGAAAGTCGTGTGCTTCTAGCACAGGAGTTGCGGTGACGTCAGAATGACATTGAGCTCCGATTGGTTTTGATTGAAAGGATAGCGGGGAGACTGATAGGTTTCTTAAAATCTACCCATTTTCTTTTTTTTTTTTCAATCAGCCAATAAGAGTTTTCATCGTTCTGGTGTTACCGCAACTCCTGCGCTAGAAGCAGACGAACTTGCGCTCCGCATTGGTCTCTCATGGAATTTTCAACTGGGAAGAGTAAAGCAAAATGCTGCTCTAGAGGCACATATGTCTTCATGCACGTTGCACTCGCGAAACAAATCCACACAACGTCGATTCTTGATCGGTATCCAAGCATGCGAAGGCAGAGACTCGGCACTTTGGTGTGCCAAGCCGCGAGACCGGTGAAACTTGCCTTTGACCAGTTTGGCCTGTTTCCTGCAGTGTTGCGCTTTCATAAAAATTTCCACGTGTTCTCACCGTTTACACGGAGTTTTAACAGACTTCTTCCGCAAATGACGACAAAGAAGCAGAAAACGTGTTTTCACCACGCTGCCACCCAGCCTCAGCAACGCTCCAAAGGTCAATTTTTTGTGTCCCAAGATGGCCTTCTGGTGGCTGCGCTTGCACTGCAGTGACCAAGTGGGGATGCGCGATCCAGTGGTGTCTTGTGAAAAAAAATAGTCAACGTCCAGGCGAGCTGGTGCGAGACGCTTGTCTGTCACCTTCCTTCTCTTGCTTCTCATACATGGCTTGCACTGACGTCACATCGCATACTTTTGACCACCATGTAAGAGGAGGAGAAGGAAGCTGCTTTTGTAAGAATTTTGAGTGACGGGTCAATATCTTCTATAATCTGATGGGAGGAGAATATATAGTGATGTCTGTGCAAATCCAAGATGCACAGAAGAGGAAACTGGTAAGAGGGGAGCTCCCTCTTCTCCTCCAGGGGCAGATCCAGAACTCCGTTTCGGGGTGGGGTGGGGTGGGGGGGGGGGGGGGGGGGGGGGGCGGAAAATTTGTAAGGATACTATTTTCCCATTCTTTCTTATCAAACCCATGTGAAATTGCTCCGAAAAGGGGGGGAGGGGGCGGGGGGGGGGGCGCCCCCGTCGCCCCCCCCTTTTTTTGTTGGATCTTCCCTGATGGTCATCGGAGCGCTCTGAAAGAGAGGCTTTCTTGGATGGACGGATGGATGAATACGGCTGAGCCCTTTGGATCGGGCGGTAGCTTACGCCACCTAGCCATTTTGTTTTACCATTTAAGCTTAGAATATTTAAATATGAAATCTATATTCACTTCGCAGTGCAAAGAAAGTGAGGCTATGAAACCCCCGGGTCCATATCACAAGAGCGAATGACATTTTAGCGAACGGCGACATTTGAGCGAATGGTCGTTTTAGCGAATAACGGGGGCGCGCGTTAACCCATCCGTCGCTATTCTTTTCTTTTACGTATTGCGCCATCTATGAGCTTAATACAACAATAGCATCAATTACTTTAAATAAAAACCAAGAGATGGCGCCACCATCGCAAAAACCTATGCCTATACTGATTTCTTTTGTTGTTTTGAGTCATCCTAGCGTTTTGTTGGGTTTATGTCGGTAGGTTGGTTGGTCGGTCGATCGCTCGCTCGCTCGCTCTCGCGCAGTGAGTGAAACAGCTTCGTCTTCCTGCCCTTGTCCGTGTTCCCCGCGCCGTAGAGCAGCCTCCCGATGGTCAGCGTTCTCCAGCCCACCCCGTCTCGACAACCGTCGAAACCGTACGGACTCCCAGCTTCGTGAAGTGAGCCAAGAGCCGCACGACGAGCCAACATGCCTCGACCGTCCCAAGACCTCGCCGCCGGCACCGTTGCAGCCTCACCACCGTCGCCAACAACAACAAGTCCGGTAAAGAGTGTGCTTTTCCACAGCCAGTTCCCATTTCAGGCCACGTGCTCCGGAATGACTTCTAAACCAACGCCGACTTTACGGACTACATGTCGTTTCTAAGGATATTCCTAAACCCAAAGTGCACCAACGATTCCTAGCACCGACCACCGAAACGTCGCCGCTGTCGCCTTTTCAGTTGTTTCGTGCAACCGTCGTCTACAAGGTATTCACTTCACCCGCGTGTGCTAACACCGTCGTCTGCTTGATCTGTCTTCGTCGTCTGCAAAAGCATTGCCGCTGTGCGTGGTATGGCGGCTTGTCTGAAGCGTCAAAGATCTCGCCGTCGGCTTGCAGCGCTCACGTTCCTCTCGAACATCTCCCTGGATGGGACGCACAGGGATACGAAACTCAACATATTTAATCGCGCGACCCAGTCGTGCGATGTAGACGTGACCGATCGCACGGCCATCGCAGCCGGCGACTTGGCCGTCAACGAAGATGATTCTGCCACAACTGATCGAACTACACCGCCGCTCGTATTGTCCAAGTGCAGTGCTGCGACCACCGCCGCCAAGGCAAACAGCGACGAAAAACTGGCCTATTCCGCAGGCGGTAGCAGCCCAAGGGAGCGTGAACGGTAAGGAGAATTTCCTATTCAAGTAAGATGCGACGGCGCGAACTAAACAATAACGTAACAAAAATAATTGTGTTTTAGTTATACTTTTTATGTTTATTGTTTCAAGCGTTCCCTTTCGCAGGCGCGTACGGAGCACACACTTGTAGGTAGCGGTCGTTTACGTTGGTACGAGGCCAAGCCGGCTCTAATGTTTGTCCGAAGCGGTTGCTTCCTGAAACGTAGCGTAATGTATACTTTTTTAGGCTTTTCCGGTGCGCCCGTCGGAGTAAATCTTTTCCATCGCATTTCCGGTTTGAATTGATTCGTAGTGACGTATTGGTTCCCGTGTACCCCTAAGCGTTTGCTCTATTGCATCTGTTTGCAGTTGTATATTTTTTCCTCCCCTCTGCGGCGATTTTTATGCCATCCAATTGGGATTTGTGCAAGCCTTCCGCATCATCGGTCCTTCAAAAAAAAAAAAATATATATATATATATATTTTGTCACCTTTTTTGTTATTTTTTTAGTTCCATCAACGGTACCCACCAAAGTTGTCACTTTATTTGGCACCAGAACATAAATCTGCCAACCCACAAACGTCGCTAAGTTGTTGCAAGATCGCTACAAAGAAAAGTCGTCTGCTAGAACGGCAGGAAAAAGAGTCGCCTGCTTTCGTCACCGGCTCATTTTGAGCGTCTGCCAAGTCTTGCCTGTTTCGGAAGTCAGGTACTTCGAGGTAGTACAACACTGCCTGCTGTTGCTAGCAGGAAGAAACGAAACAAAGGCTGAGTAAAGAACGTCGTCCATTGGAAGTCTGCATGAAATGCGCATAATCTCAGGAAGGGACGGAACTTTTTCCACTTCTCATTTGACGAGGTCAACAATTTCAGCGAGGTTGCTGGGAGGCATTAGGCACGGATATCTGTTTTCATCTCGACTCTCATTTCCTTGTGTGCGGATAGGGAGCAAAAATATCGCCCTTGGCCATAGTGGTGTTTGCGTACTCCAGCAACGCTCTAGTTTCTGAAAAGGCTACAACCTTGAATGAAATGTGAACAAAGAACAATAAATAGAAAATGCACTGCAAATATTCTTTTTAAACGCCTTTGGCGTGATTAATAAAAAACAAACGTATCGCGCGGAGCACTTTATCTCAATCTCTTTCGCGCGAATGTGATATATCTTCTTCAAGGTGAAAAAAATTACGCAGATTTAGCAAGTCCGCAAGAAGAGGCGCATCATTTAATGGTGGTTTATATATATATATATACGACGACGACTTTCTTGTGACCCACGACAACTGAAATATGAACGCGACATTCCGCAGAGCAATATGAGTAGTCTGAAAGAGGCGTCGTGTTTGCTCAGAAGTCGTCGTGAAAGCTTCGCACTACTGCGCGTGTTGGGTGAACTCTATTGGCACAAACGTACCAAGTAACTGGTATATGTTGTGCTTTGAGTAAATTAAAAATTGCTTTACCTGAGGTGAGTTTCGAGTGAACACGCACTTAATTTTTTAGGGTTTTTGAAAGTCAGCGCAAAAACACCCGAAAGTCAGCGCAAAAAAACACACACACACACACACACACACATATATATATATATATATATATATGTGTGTGTGTGTGTGTGTGTGTGTGTTTTTTTGCGCTGACTTTCGGGTGTTTTTGCGCTGACTTTCAAAAACCCTAAAAAATTAAGGCGTTTGAAAAAAAAAAAAAACTCTTCGGGAACAAACTACCAGTCAAGGCGGCCGTCAGGAATTGCCAAAAACATACTAAACAGCCAGATAATAATTAAAATTTGTTAATAACATTTTTAATTAATGGAAATAAACATATAGCTCCAATTAGAAAGTTGCTCAGCGTCATCGAAAACCACTAAAACCGTCATTTTCAGAAATACTTTGAGTGCGTGAGAAGGGTAGTAGCGCACTAAAGTTACCACTCGTGGAGCAGGTACAGGGCTGGAGCTACATAGGAGGCGGAAAAATCGCGCGGGCTCCTCATCGCAACCGCTAGCCTTGTACCTGCTCCACGAGGGGTAACTTTAGTGCGCTACTACCCTTCTCACGCGCTCAAAAGTCTTCCTGAAAATGACTGATTTAGTGGTTTTCGATAACGCTCACCAACTTTCTAATTGGAACCATATGTCTATTTCCACTAATTAAAGAGTTAATTAACAAATTTTAATTAATTAGCTGGCGAATTAGTATGCTTTTAGCAATTCCTGACGTCCGCCGTGGCTGGTAGTTTTTTCCCGCAGACAGTTTCTTTTTTTTTTTTTTTTTCAAACGCCCTAAGTTTTAGGATTTTTAAAAGTCTTCGCAAAAACACCCGGTATATATAGATATATCTATGTGTGTGTGTGTAGACATGTAATGCGCTTCAAGTAGATTTTAGGGAGTTTTCGTAAAAACCTTTCCGCCGTCCCGCAACGCTCTCCACAATCCGCTACGAGATCCGCGCAGGCGCAGTAGCAGTCTCTTCGTTGCGGGTAGCTTAGCGGAGGGAGGAAAGCGGTGAAAACTCCCTAATATATATATATATATATATATATATATATATATTTATTTATAATGGGTACGGTACCAGAAAAAAAAAATGACGGCGTTGCTAAGCAAATAAATATAAACAGATGAATGTTCGGTGTAAGTCGTTCGTTCACTGCTAGAAAGCTATATTTTTGACAGTATAAACCGTTGTGGAGAAGTTCGTGGATCGACACCAAAATAAAATGGCGTGGAAGTATCGATATCGTGCTCGGGTTTACTGTGTCCCTCACTGTACTACACCGCGTACTTCTCGACAATGCGTTTCTTGTCTCTTTTGAGCGCACATTATGCGGTTGCAGCTCGTTTGCCTGATCTCTACAAACGCGCCTGGCTACCTGCATATCGCATAAGGCCCTTTCCCCTTCGCTTTGTTTGTTTATGTTAGACGTGCAATACTTGCTCTATGTTGCGCAACGTTCGCGTATTATTGCGTACTCTTCAAAAACGCTGAAGCGCTCGAAATAAAATCGACCTGTTACAATTTTATTACACTTTATTTTGAGAAAGCGATGTCACACAAAAGCAACAACGGAATCAAGTTGTTTTACTTGAGTCTGAATCGTCAGAATCTGAAGCAGTTGGTGGGATATTTTGGCGTGGCTGGGTTCGTTGTCCGGTATGGTATGACTGCAGAGTCATTTCGCAGGCGGTCCTATTGTTATTCAGATCAGCATTATGTGACAACTGCGGCATCCTGTCTACGAAAAAATGCACCCGTAGAGGTGTAATCGATTGTCCATACAAAACGCCTCAAAAGACTTTTTTTTCAAGGCGTTTTTATATTGACATGTTCAAGTTTAATTGCTCTAAAAAACATGTGAATTATCTATTACATGAGAAGTTAGAACGTAATTATTCAATTATATATTAAATGTTTCGACAGCAGCATATAGATCTGCTGTCTATTAACACCATTCGGGGCGTATTTTAGCATATCAAATAGTGTACTCGATTAGGAGTGTATGTATTTGCTTCTTTCTTTTCCGCGATTCGTTTTTTATTTTCTAGAATATTTCACTTTTGCTGGTTGTATTTCTTGATGATTTAATAGCGTTTTGGCGTTTTGTACATGTGTAAAAATAAATCGATACGCCATAAATATTGGGAGTCGCCTCTTTCAGTATAAACAGATGACAGTGTAACACAAAAGGGTAGAGGAGGAGGAAATAACTTTATTGAAGCCAAAACGAGACTCGGTCTGGGTGGAGACGCCGAGTATAGACAATTTGACTCCACACAAAACCTGCACCCTAGCTTGGAAAATGACACCATCCGAAAGTCACCTGTTTGCATAAGTGTGAATAGCATTTTTTTCCCCTTTTAACTATCAGTTTTGGGTTGAAGCGTGGATAACATACTTTTCACTTCCAGTCTCGAGTTGAAGCGTGGATAACTTCCAGTCTCAGG